TTCGACCTGACCTTGTTTTTTCAAAAGGCCTGACATGGCCTGTTGAAGATGCATCATACACGTGCTTTAAACATTTACTATGTCCCAAAGACAAGAATGATGTCCTTAAAGAGAGGGATGAAACTTCCCCCCGTATCAGCACTTCCTTAAGGATCAGTATCTCTTCCTGGGAACTAAGGATTAATTACTGACCTGCTGTGCTCACCCTGCGACCACTGATCTGCTGAGCCAGCAAAGCAGTCTCCTGACTATTGTAAAAGGGACATTCCTGGGGCCGGCCCCGTGACGCAGTGGTTAAGTTTGCACATTCTGCTTCAGCGGCCCGGGGTCCACCAGTTCCAATCCCGGACATGGCACCGCTCATCAAGCCACGCTGTGGCAGGCGTCCCACATATAAAAAGTAGAGGAAGATGGGCAAGGATGTTAGCTCAGGGCCAGTCTTCCTCAGCAAAAAGAGGAGGGTTGGCAGCAGATGTTAGCTCAGGGCTGATCTTCCTCAAAAAAAAAAGGGACATTCCTATCATAGGTGATGTATGCTCTTTGTTCCAAGATGGTATTTAACCACTCTGTGCACCCCACTTCTTTGGAGCACTCTCGGGGGCTGTATGGTCCTTTGGGTTGGTTTATAATAAACTTGCCCCAATTTTGATTTATAGATTGATTATGAATTATTTGAGTCAACAACCCTAAGTTTCCATTTCTCATTTGATTGATTTTTGCAATATTGGAGATCATGTGTGTAAACAAATTGACCCAGTGCCTGACAGGGTCGATATTCCATGGATGCTCCATAACCAAAGACAGCATTTTTAACAGAGAGACACTGTGTTGGAGTCTCTCCACTTCCTCTCCTACACATGGGCTGCCAAAGCAAGCCTGCCACTTCCTATACTATAAAACGCTGAGCCCAGTTGCAGGCACAGAAAAAACGAAGCAACCCGGGTTGGAATCTGAAGAACTGCCGGAAAAGAACAGTCTGGGACAATTCCCGTGACCGCCTGGGAGAGGTCCCGGAAGGCAAGTGACACGTGCTACCGTCTTTCCTATGGGAAAAACAAACTTTCACAAAGTTCTGATCATCAAGCGAATGCCAGAAGGACAGCTGGCCCTATGCCGGAAAAATGATTTTGTAATGGCGACGGACCTTCCCCAGGGACTGCGGGTTGGGCCACGTGTACACCAAACCAGGGCCCATGGCCAACAGCTTGGCTCCACCAGACTTTCAGCATCTGTCCCCTGGGGCAGGGCTCTCAGCTGGGCCCGGGCCTTGCCAAGAGGACCAGATAAATAGCAACCTGCAGGCGCCAGGCGTCTGACGCCTGAATCGCAAACGAACCACCTGGCGAATGCCCTTAAGATGCAGATTGATTCAGCTTCTTGGGACGGCCCCAGACCCTGCATTTCTAACAAGCTTCCAGCTGAAGCCAATGCTGCTCCCAGGACTACCCTCTGAGAAGCCCGGGTCTGTGTCACAAGCACAGAGGAGAAAACGAAACGGGGCAAATGATTCCGGACCCTGGACTTGCGCTGCGGGAGGGACAGACGTGGCGCTGCTCTGCCCCTTGGCCCTGACGCCGTCAGACGTGCACACGGTACCCGGAGGGTTCCGGGGCTGCCGTCCGTCCCTGCCCGACCCCGCCCCAAAAATGGCATAACCGTGTCCAGGGAGCCACCCCATGTCGCAGCGGCAGCGCGGGCCCAGAGCCTCCTCCCGGGTATATAGGCTCCTCCGGGCACCGCCCCCTCCTCTTCTGGGAGCCCCCTCCTCCTCTCGGCACCGCCCCCTCCTCCACCCGGCACCGCCCCGTCGCCCCCCGCCCCGCCCCCAGGATTCAAGAATCGCAGGTTGCGCCGCCTGACTTTCGTTTCTGCGAACCGAAAAGGAGAAAAGAAACCAAAACCAAACCTGCTTTGACTGGGAAACGCGACATCCAGAGGAGAGGCGGGGAGGAGACAAAAAGGAAACCCAGTGGCTCAAGGTAACTCTCCAGAGGTCACCTGAAGACCACGTCTGCAGGACCAGAGACAGTCCTCCGACTCATCATTCATTCATTCATTCATTTATTCCAGAAATATTGAAACACTATGCCAGGACTTGTGCTGGATCCTAAGTACAATAGCAAACACCACAGACCTGATCCCACCCGGTTGACAGCTGGTGGCAGAAAGGGCGTTCACAGAGGCCAAGACAGCGTGATGAGGCCCTGCTCCACGGGTGGGGTGGGAAGCATGGGGTTCCCAGGAAGCAAGTCCGCTAGCCCTGGAGAAGCACAGAGGGAGGCCACGTTCTGGGAAGAAGTCCAGGCGCAGGAGTAGGAGGAGGAGTGCCCTTGAGCTGGGCGAGGTTCTGTGAGGAGCGTTACATCCGAGCAAGGGGAGCAGGGCCAGGTGAGGCTGGGCACAGGCAGGTCCTGCACACCAAGCTGAGCAGTTTGGAACACTCCACCCCCTCCCACCCCTGCAGTGGGGTACCCTGCAGCATTGAACAGGGGTGCTTTCTGCTTCCCAGATGTTTAAGCAAATGCACTGTTTGAAGGTAGGCACCAATGTCTGGAAGCTTGCCAAGTATGGCTTTCCATTAATACCAGCTCAGCTCTCCTGGCAAGCCTGGGTCAGGCCAGGCAGGTGGGAGGGGACTGGAGAAAGACTGAAGAGACCTGGAGAGCCCTGGGCATCCATGACTGCGCAGGTGGCCGGGGTTGGGTCAGTGTGATTGTTTGGCCACTAATATGCTGCCATGGGGATGCTGTGTTTTTGTCAGATAGGTTGTAATGGAGGTAGGAAACACTAGTAAGTGCATAGGATCTGACCGTGCCCTGGCAGGAGCCCCAGGGGCTGAAGTGGCTGTGCACATCAGGCCACTTAAATTCAGCCCACGCTTACTGAGCACCTGCTGTTGGTAGGTGGTAGGCACCGCGGGGATACAAGCTTCATAAGGCCCTGGCCTGCCTTTGTGGAGCTGACAGCTTCATGGAGGAGGTGGCCACATCCCCGACCATCCAGAACATCCATCTGAGATGAAGAGCATCTAAGCTTGAGCTAAGGTGGTGGGGGGCCAGAAGAGGCGAGACCCAGGTCTGAAAGGGGCTCCCAGGGGCAGCTGTGTAGACAGGGAACATCACAGTTGGGACTTGGCAGAGGAGGAGAATGTGTCCGGGAACCTGGGGGAAGGACAGGCCAGCAGAAGCGTGGGTCGTGCTCAGGGATGGTGAGCTGGGTGCTGAGCCTGGAGGACAATTCCCAAGAGCTAAGAGTCCCAAACTTATTTCATAGACTAAAGAGTAGTCAATGTTTCCTTAGTAGAGAAGGAACCTGTCAGCAATTCAGGTGGAAGGCTGGGAGCTTCCTGAGGACAGGGGCTGCATCTCATCGATTTTAGCACGGCTAGAAGATGTTACAGAGCGCAAAGCTGGGAATCAAAACCTAGATGCCATCTTCGCTCTCTCACTGGCTAGTTAGGGACCCAGCAGTGAGCTGACTCCTCATATGTAAAGTGCAAGTGATTATCTCACTCTCCTCACAGGGTGGATGTGAAGGAGACCACACATACTATTACTCAGAACCTATGAGCTGTTACTGTGTTATTACTGAATTACACCCCAGCCAAGCCCCTGGGCTCTTCAGGGAACTGCCAGGTAATGTGCAAAGTAGAAACAATGAGCTACCAGAATCTCAGGCTGGGAGGCGCCACGGGGAGGCTTGTGAAGTGTCTGGGTGCCAAATTTAAGGGGGCACTTGCACCTCCTGAGATGCGTGGCTCCTCAAATCTGGCACCGCAGCCACCTCCCTCACCTTGCCCTCGTCCTGGCCCTGGAGCAGGCTGCGGCCCCGCCTGGCTTTCACTTTTGCCCATGGCTCTTTCTGAATTCATTCCTGAACAGCAGTCGCTGGGGAGAGCCTCCTGCGGTCTGAAGGGGCTGGGATCGTTGGCCAGAGTTGAGTCTTATGTCCATGCATGCCTTTCCCCTCCATTTCAGGGGCACTTCTTCTCCTTGGGAAAGCTCCACCCCAGGCTGCTCACAGCCCACTGGGAAATGGGGTGGCTCTTCTTCCTAACTGTGCAGTAGCTGAGGCCCAGAGGGATGAGTGGCCGCAAAACTTCCTCTCTAATTACAGGGAGAGTGTGTGTTCCCCTACCAGGCCCCCTGGATGGGGTTGCCCAGACCCCAGCAAGGAACCGTGCAGAGCCAGGCAACTTCAGCCCGGCGAGTTGGCTGTGGGGCCTCTTCCCCTTCTCTTGGGGGCAGCCATATTGAATTCAGTTCCCTGCAGGCTTTCCCTGACCCCAGAACTTAGAGCTCGGGCAGGTTCCAGGCCTTTGACTGGGGGCAAACCTTCACAGTCAGAGGAGTATTTGGGGGGAAGTGTTGTCAGGGACTCTGAGTGGAGCTCAGGAGAAGGAGGTGGGGTGCCAGGCCCTTCCAAAGGCAAGTGTTACTCCTCACGCACAGAGGCCCCACAGGGAGGGCCACTCCCATTGGGTCTGCTTGACCTCAGCCCCCCACCTTCCACCCATTTCCATCCTGGAGAGATCAGATGAGCCCACCTCCAGGGAAGGCTTGAAGTGGACCAGGAGAATTGGGAAAGAGGAGGATGCGCGTCTGCATGTGGAAGGGGAGGGAGGGACCGCCATTAACAGAATGCTTGAGAATCCCTGAGGGTACCCGAATGACCCCAGTGAACCCTGGGCAGGAATTTAAGACCCGCAATTATCAATGCATCTGTTCAGAAGGCCAGGGGTTAAGGGACTGGCTAGGGTCAAGGCTGCGTTCCGCTTTGCATGGCTCGAGGCTATTAAAGCAGCAGGTCTCAAACTGCCGCAGAATCGTCACAAGGACCTGATCAAACTCAGGTTACTGGGCCCTGCGGCCCAGTTTCTGATTCAGCGGGGGCGGGGGCGGACGGTGGCGAGAATCTGCATTTCCCTCCAGCTCCCAGGGATGCGGCTGCTGCTGACGCCGGGCGCGCACACGCAGCGCCTCTGGGAGGCTGCCGCTCCGGGGCCGAGCAGCGGTTTGGTTTCGTTTCCTAGCCAGCGGCCCTTCCGCTGGGGCCCCCGCGTCCCCGGAGCTTCGTTTCTCCGCGACCGGGGGCGGGCGGGGTATAAAGCGGAGGAGCAGCCGGCGCCCGGCATTCGTCGCTGCGTGACGACGGGTGAGTGCCTTGCTCCTGGGTCCGCGCACCCTCCAGCCGGCCAGGGGGGCTCGGAGAGGAGCATTTGGGCCGCTGGCTGCGAAGACCAGTGCTCCGGGATGTGGGCATTGCAGGGGCTAGTATTAGTAGTAATAATAATAATAATTAATAATAATAATAATAAATAATAATAATAATAAATAATAATAATAATGGCGATGTTGGCCGGGGCTCAGAGCGCGCTTGATTCTACTTCCAGGGCGCCTGGGTGACATCAAAAACAGCCTCCCTAATCTGCAGGTTTTTGCTTGAGGAGGTGGGAAGGTGGAGGGGATGGAGGCCCAGGGGTCTCTGAGGAAGCCGGTTACCGGGGGGAGGGACGCACTGAGAAAGTTTCACATCCACTGCTGCGTGGCCTAGGAGCCCACCCCAGACGCCGATCATTGCTTGATATCATTTTATATTTCCTGCTAGCGAGGCAAACTGAACAAGTCAACAGTCGGAGGAAGTGGGGGGGGGTCTTGGAAGCGCAGAGACCAGGGGTCTTCACCGATCCTGCTGAATACAGGCAAGTCCGAACGGAGGGTCGCGGCTGGCGAGGACGTTTTGGGTACCAGAGCCGTGCCGTGGGAAGGAAGGGCTGGTGGGAGAGACGAGGCATGCGCAGAAGTGCCCTGTGCGGCGTACGCTCTCTCTCCCAGGGGATGGGGAGATGACTAGGGACGTTCCTGTAGCTTGTGCAGCTGGGTGCGACTGAGTGGGGTGGACGCACGTAGTTTGGGGGGATGGAGAGACGTAAAACAGTCGTGGGGGCTGGCAGAAGGAAGCCGGGCGATGCTGAGACCTGCACTCTCCACCGCGGGTGACCGCTGAGCTGTGCATGTGGGATTCTCGGAATTATTTGGTCAAATTTTAAATCAAGTTGCTGGAAGCAAGGTCAGGTGATGCTAACCTCCAGTTATCAGTCCCAAACGACTCCTAAAATGTCTAACCGCGTCCTCTTTCTATTTTAGAACAGACCTGCTGGCAGGGAGTTCCCCACCCTTTCCCGTGGACGTGCATCCCATTTCCTTCCCGGCTTCCCTTCTCCCTTCTCCCTGCCTCCTGACACTCAGTGTGGTTCCGTGGAGAGCATTAGGTCTAAAGTACAAGATGATTTCCCTTTTAATCATAAAATATTTATATGTCGGTGAGCTTTTAGAAGGCAAAACACTTTCAGGAGAAAAAGCAAATGTAAGTCCTTCAAAGATTATTTTTAAAACTAGACTGAATTATGTTGGGCAAGTTGCAGACTCTATGAACCAGGCATTCTCTAGGATGCGCTTGCAGGTGGTCCCAGGGGTAGAGATTGTGCTTGTAGGAGTTGAGGGGTGCTGAATGCTCCCTCCCAGCCCTGCTCCTCTATTTGGTTTGGGCTGAGGAAGCTTTCCCACAAGGACAGAAATCCACTGGACAACCTTTTGATGCCACTCACACTCCCCAGGGCAGGTATTCTCCAGTGACACCATGGTAGGTGGCATCCACTTCTGGAAGCTGTAGGCAGCCAGCACTCCCTAAAATCTGGAGTGGAGGGGCAGCCAGCCAGCCACCTCCATGGACAATGGGAACTTGAGGGGACACACACTTGCCCTGGGCAGGAATGGAAGGAGTGTGCTGCACCTGGGCAGTTGCTCCCCTCCCTACCCAAACCTGAGGCGTGAGAGAAGAGCCTGGTATAGTAACCCCACCCCTGAGCCCTGGGGGTGTGCAGTAGCGAGAAGGATGAGGGCTGGAAAGGAGAGAGGTTGGAGGTGGTGTGCCTGCCCGAAGGCTCAGGGTGGCCACTGCCTGACTCTACCACGGCCACCATTGGCGAATGCATTCAGTTCAGTCTGACAACTGCAGCTGGATGCTGAGTGTAATGAATGACCAAGAAACTGGCTTTAATGACTAGATTGCCCTGCTCCTGAAATCCAAACTGGTTTTCAAAGATGATCCAAGAAAGGTACAGACATTTGAGATGTACAGACAAAATCCACAAGATTTTGCTTTCAGGGATTATCATTTTATGAAACAAACAGAGGCAGGGAATACATTCACAAAGTCCTATTTTGACTCAATTTGGACCTCTGGTCATGGGGGATGCTAGCCCTGCAGACCAAGGATGCCACCTGGCTGGGCGCAGTAAGGCCAACTGAGGCAGCGGTGGTCTTCAACTTGGGGCCCCAGCCTGGGACCCCCTGGGCACTGAGTCTTTAGGAAGGCGTGAGGGGGGTTGGGGCATAAATTTCCAGATTGCCAAATTGCATAAGTGCTCTTTAAGACTGATCGCCTTTCAAAATCACCTTTCTCCCACTTTATGAAGGACCGAATGTATCCCTCTCTCCCTTTCGTGTTTTGCTTTGTTTTGGTTTGGTTTGGTTTGTTTGTTTTTAGCCACCTTGCCCGTTCAATTGCACCAATATTGACAAAGATTGCACAACTCTTGGGGGAGGGTCCTGTGCAAAGAAGCATAGAGAGCATCATAAAAAAATGTTGATTCAGGCAGTAAATTTACAGCAAGGCTCTGTGCCTCATCCATCTGTCTTAGAATTAAAATAGTCAAGATTTACAAAAAGGATTCTGGGAACTACATTTCTGCCTCAAAGCGCGTGCCCTCTGCATTTGCACCATTCTCAGCTGTGGGAACATATCCGGATGAATACGCTCATTTACTCGGTCGGGTTTGGGCCTAATTTGTATGTTTTGCATGATTTCAAGGAGGTGGAGAACAGCTCTGCATTTCTGTCCAAGCAGTCAGCGGTCCATCGTCAAGTAAAGGAAGCTATATTGGAGATAAGTAAGTGCTTTATGTTTTTTTATAACATTTATTTCAAGTCATAGGAGAAATATTTTCATTTACTTTCATCCAAGATTATTAGATGTATAAAACTTAATATTTAGAGACTTGTGGTCCTGGAAAAATTTTTAAATGAAGTTCAAATTTATGCATATGTAGCTTTTGAATGCAGACAAATATGATAAAGTGGTCAATTAAATGCTTTCAAAAATAAAATGAGTGACATTAAGATATACTTACATGGGGGAAATGGAATGAAAATAAGAAGTTGACGATCAGAAGGACAGAGTACAAGGCTTGGAGTTCATACTTTTTTTTTAACTATAGGTTTGGGTTTCAAATTGCCATAATATTTAGATTCCCTCAGCTACATTGGAAACAGTTCTATAACAATTTTATTTTTAAATGTAAATTTAAAAATTGCATCAGAATTGCATCGTTTGCAACTCTTTAAATTTATAGTAAAAACATTTTTTGATGTTCAACCTAAAATTGTAACGGGAAATACTTAAAGAAAATCGTTGGGGGTATGGAAGCGTATTCTTGAAGATCACTGATCTGGGACACAGCATTTGTTTTCATCTAATGTATGGTTCGTTGGAGTCCTCCTGTCATTTCTTTTTCAGTCAATAAAGAGTTAGTGAGCTCACAGTGTGTCCTGGTGTGTCTAGTTGTGGGTTTGGTTCCCGCGACTGCATGTACCCAGCTTCTGATTCGTGTTAATCCTGATCTGCTTGATTTTAAGCTGAACTGATAAAGGAAGAAGATGGTTCATTCTGAAGCGAAAATGACAAGACCTGATTCAGCTTCCGCATCCAAGCAACAATTACTAAATGGAAATGCTGACATACAGGAGACAAATCAGAAAAGAGTAAGTTGCTGCCTGACAATCTCTATCCGTGCGGCCATGAGCTGTGTCCATCTCAGGCTGCCCTTTTGCACAGCAGTGCCTGCTTCCCCATCTCTCCCGTGCCAGCGTGTGCATCCTCTACTCATTCTGCTTCGGCCCTCCTTGCGGCTGTATGCAGATGTTTTGCCTTAGCTGATGCTGGTTGGGGTGCAATTTTGGTCTGGGGAACCAGGCGAGATGCTGGTTGGCTCAGGTGGGCATTGGCCAGGCCCCGGGTCCAAGGAGCGCTGTGTTATCATGTGCCTGTGTCATGGTTCAGTCTCCAGCTGCAAACCTCTGAGATGTCGTTGTGACATTCCATCACAAGGAAGCCATGTGGTGTCTTTTTTTCCTAGAATCCAGACATAGTTTTGGTGGGAACCAAACTGGGCTTCTGGAATCAGTCCAACCTGACTTTGATCCCAAGGCTGACACTTCCAGCTGTATGATCCTGGGTGGTTATTCCTCTCTGGTGTATAAGCCTGGCTTTCCATCTCCAAAATGGGAATAATAGCGTTTACTCAGTGTGGCTGTTGAGAGGAATACATGCAGGTAGAGTCTGGGTACTTATTGCCCAATTTATTGCTATTACATGTTTGAAAACCATGGATCGTCAGCGTCTTCAAGCTGACTCCATTTTCATGAGCAATGTTCAACAATATTTTAAACAATATTAAAAACAATGTTGAAGGACATGGAAAAGTAAGAAGGTCCACCCGTCTTTCCAGCACCCTGTGTAACTTTCCGTTTCCCCGTGTTTCTCTCCCATGTCCGTCTCTTGCCTGCTGGAACCAGCAGAGCCTGGGGCACTAAGAACTCACACCACTCACACCCATCTGCTTGGAAGTGGCTTGGCCTTTTCCAGTCAAGTTGAACAGGGTGTGTCTTGTGATCTGCCAATTGCACTTCTAGGCGTAGACCTTTCTTCTCAAAGTGTGGTCCCCAGACCCCAGCATCAGCATCGCCTAGGATGCTGAAATATAAATGATGTTTGAAATGCAAATGATAACCTCCCCCAACACACAGACCTCCCCAGACCTAGTAAACTAGAAACTCCAGGGGCAGGGCCCACCCTCAGTGTTTTAACAGGCCCTCCAGGTGATTCTACTTCATGCAAAAGTTTAAGAAGCACTATGCAAACTCTTGCATGTATCCACTGGAGAGTATGTTCATAACAGCATTGTTTATAGTAGCAAAACCTGGAATCAGCACAAGTGCCCATGGGTGGATGGGTGGTGGGATGCCTACACAGATTGTGGCATGCTCATGCAGCAGAATTCTTTACAGTGGTGAAAATGAATGGACCGGAGTTCCAGGCATCAAGATGGTTGAGCCTGTCAACTTAAAAACCTAATTTACCTGTTATGTTATCTCAGAATGAGTTTATTTGGGAATAGCCAAAAAAATTGCAATTTGCTACAGCAAACCATAGGCAAATCCAGAAAAGAAAGGAGGGGAGCTGCTTTTATAGAGAAAAAGGGGGAGAGGGCGGGCCTGTTCTAAAGGAAAGTCCATTGGGAGAAAGTAACATTTCAAGGGGGCAGAAGCTTCTCCTTGGCTGAGCTGTGGCATTTCTCCTTGGCTGAGCTGTGGTGTTTCTCATTGGCTGAGCTGTGGTGTTTCTCCTTGGCTGAGCTGTGGCATTTCTCCTTGGCTGAGCTGTGGTGTTTCTCATTGGCTGAGCTGTGGCGTTTCTCATTGGCTGAGCTGTGGCATTTCTCCTTGGCTGAGCTGTGGTGTTTCTCATTGGCTGAGCTGTGGCATTTCTCCTTGGCTGAGCTGTGGTGTTTCTCATTGGCTGAGCTGCTGTGGCTTCTCCTTGGCTGAGCTGTGGCATTTCTCCTTGGCTGGGCTGTTGCAGGGTGGGAAGAGATATCTTCCTTCAGAAGTAAAGTAGTTGTACTTCCTGTCCAAGATGCAAACGTTCCTCTTGCTCTGTTTGGTGTAGTTGACATCTGTGATAGATGGGACATGAGACCTCCTCCTCCAGGCCTTCCCCACTCCAATTTAGTTAAGGTTTCTTTTCTTAATTTCTGCAAGTCTAAAAAACAAGGATGAACCAAAGAATCAAGTCACAGAAGAAATATACAGTGTGATCCCATTTATGTAAAGTTCCAAAACAGGCAACAATGAGCAATGTGTTATCGCGGGAAAGATGAATAGGTGGCAAAACTGTAGAGAACAAGAACATGGTTATCACAAGCCGCAGGACAGAGGGACCCTCGGGGGGCAAGGGGTAGTAGGAAGAAGGGGACTGGGGAGGGGTATTTGGAGTGTCTTCAGTACTGGGAATATGTGTTTTCTTAGCCCAGGTGGTTGGTACAGGTATATCTGCTGATTATTATTCATGTTTCATAAACTCTTGTGAATGGATGACATAAAGAAATGAAAACAAGAAGAAGCCATAAGGAGGGTTGAGACTGAGGCTGCCGATGGGTACAAAGGCACAGCCAGGCTTCGGGCACGGTCACCATGGGGCTTTCCCTGTGGAGGTGTGTGCTCCAGACTTTTCTTAAATGTTGTGATATGGAAAAACTACTCTGGGCACTTGTTAAAAACTGGCAAGGAGGCTTTTATTCAGGGCTGTTGCAACAGGGGAGGGAGCTTAAGCTCAACGTGGAATACAGGGACAGGCGGGGGGTCCACAGCCAGTGGGTCGGGGAGGGAGAATTGCTGAGAGGATGCGGTTAGGATGGGGGATGGGGCAGGGAACTTGAGGAGCTATCAAATGCGAAGGGATGCTGGATCAACTGGCTTAGCAGGGTTCTCTGCTGAGTCTGGGCTCAGCAGGCGGAGGAGAGGCCTGGTAGAGAAGAGGGTTCAAGGAGCCCCCCTCAGTTTGGTCAAGGGTATCCTTCAGTGAGTACCCCCTTCTCTGCTGAAATTCGTCCACATTCCCCGTATGTGAAATTTTGTGCTCGTGCATTCTGTAAGGCAGTGGTTCTCAACTGGAGGCTCTTTTGCCCCTTGGAACGTATGGCAGTGTCTGGAGACATTTGGTTGTCACAACTCAGGTTGAGTCATGAATAGTGAATAAGGCCAGAGATTCTACTAAACCTCCTGCAATGTGCAGGACAGCCCCTCAAAGCAAAGACGCACCTGCCCCCAAATATAAAGAGCTTCTCACCACAATATAAAGGAACTATTCTAGTAAAATTTATATATATTGTAAAGCATTCCCAAAATAGCAATTAGAAAGAAAAAGATAAAAGATAAACAAAATGGTTTTCTTGTATTTTCTTCTTAATCAGATTGTTTGTTGTCTTGTTGTTGAGTTTTGGGAATTCTCTATGTACTCTAGGTACAAGTCCTTTGTCAGATATATATTTTTTTGTTTTTTTGGTGAGGAAGATTGTCCCTGAGCTAACATCTGTGCCAGGCTTCCTCTGTTTTTTGTATATGGGATGCCACCACAGCATGGCTTGATGAGCGCTATATAGGTCCATGCCCGGGATCCAAGCCCCCCAAACCCCAGGCCGCTGAAGCAGAGTGCAAACTTAACTCCTACTCCAGCAGACCAGCCCCAGATATATGTTTTGCAAACTTGTTGTCCCAGATTGTGGCTTGTCTTCTCATTCTCTTGACAGTCTCTTTTAAAGATCAGGTGTTTTCAATTTTTATAAAGTTCAGTTTATCAATTGATTATTTTACGGAATGTGCTTTTGGGGTTGTATCTAAGAAATCACTGCCTAATCCACAGTCACAAATATTTTCTCCTAAGTTTTCTTCTAGAATTTTCATAGTTTGAGGTTTTTCATTGAAGTCTGTGGTCCACTGTGGGTTATTTTTTGTATATAGTGTGAAATCTAGATACAAATTCTTTTTTTTTTTTGCGTATAGATATTCAATTGTCCCAATACCACTGTTGAATCAGTTGTTGATGTATATGTTGGTTCATTTCTGGAATATGCATGTGTTCTGTTCCATCGGTCTGTCTCCATTTTTATATGAACACCATGTTGTTTTGGTTACTGCCGATTTATAGTAATTGTCAAAGTCAGGTAATGTTAACCCTTCAACTTTATTCTTTTTCAAAGTCGTTTTGACTCTTCTAGGAGTATTTAGACCATTTCTATTTACAGTCATGCACTGCATAATGACGTTTTGGTCAATGACAGACAGCATATGTGGCGGTGGTCCCATAGAGCCTGGGTGTGGAGTAGGTTACACCGTCTAGCTTTCTGTAAGTTCACTCCTTGATGTTCACACAGCAAAGTTGCCTAACGGTGTGTTTCTCAGAATGCATCCTCGCTGTTCCGTGACGCACACCTGTGCTGTGATGGTTAATATAATCAGGTCTGCGAGGATCATTCTGCTATTCGTTTGTTATTTGTCCTATCTGTTTTCATTTCCCCTTTCCCCTTTTCTGCCTTCCTCTGAATTAATCAAGTTTTTTTCATGATTCCGATTTATCGCCTTTGCTGGCTTATTAAATATAACTATTTTAGAGTTTATTTTATGCGTCTTTAGCATATGAAGTCTACCTTCAAGTGACATTATACTACCTCATGTTTGATACAAGAACTTTACCATAGTAAGCTTTCGTTTCTCCCCCTCAGCCTTCGTGCCGTTTTTGTCATGAATTTTAATTTTGCCTATATCATAAACCCCACAATACATTGTTATTATCTTTGTTCAAAAAGTCAAATATCTTTTAAAGGCATGTGAGTAATTTTAAGAGTGTAGTAGTTACCATTTCTGGTGTAGATTCCTTTGTGTACATTAAGATTTCCATTCAGCATCCTTTTCCTTCCGCCAGAAACACTTCTTTAACCTTTCCTGTAGTGCAGGTCTGCTGGTGATGAATTCGTTCACTTTTATATGTCTGAGAAGGTCTTTATTCTCCTTCATTCTTTTAAAAGATGTTTTTGCTGGGTATAGAATTCTAGGTGGATGGTTTTTTCAGTACTTTAAAAAGATTGTTCCACCGTCTTCTCGCCTGTGTTGTTTCTGATGAGAAATCTGCTATAAAGCTCGTCTTTGTGCCTCTGTGTGTAACATGTTCTCTGGCTGCTTTAAACATTTTCTCTTTATCACTGGCTTTGAGCTATTTGAGTATAATGTACCTTGATGTCATTTACTTTATGTTTCTCATGCTTGGGATTCATTGAGCTTCTAGGATCTTTGAGTTAATAGTTTTCTAGTTTGGGAAAATTTTATCCATTATTTCTTCAAATATTTTTTTTCTGTCCCTCTCCCACCACCTTTTGAGAGCTCCAGTAACCTGCATATTAGGCTGTTTGAAGTTGTCCATCTTTGATGGAACGTGACCTGCAGGCCGTGACAGAATTCTCCCCTTCTGCTTTCTCCAGAGCATTGAGAAAAACCTGTGTAGCCAGTATGAGGAGAAGGTACGCCCATGCATTGATCTCATCGACTCCCTGCGGGCTCTGGGTGTGGAGCAGGACCTGGCCCTGCCTGCCATCGCCGTCATCGGGGACCAGAGCTCGGGCAAGAGCTCTGTGCTGGAAGCTCTTTCAGGGGTCGCCCTTCCCAGAGGCAGTGGTAAGTACTCGCCCTGTGAATTAGTCAGCTTGGACTGACTTAACGGAGTATAGCCACGCACCACATAATGACGTTTCGGTCAATGATGGACTGCGTATACCGTGGTGGTCCCATAAGATTAGTGCCATAGAGCTTAGGCATGTGGTAGGCTACACCATCTAGGTTTGTGTACGAATACTCAATGATGTTCACACAATGACAAATGTGGAGTGTATGTAACCGGCACTTTGTGGAAGGACTAAGTAAATGCATTTGGGCCCCCAGCCCAGAACTATGTGCACGTGGATGTCTTTCCTGAGCCCCTTCCCCTGAGGTGACCCTCCATCTGGGAGGTGAAGATTAGTGCTCTGGTTAGTGGTGCTGTTTGAGCTACAAGGTCAAGGATCAGTGAAGGCTCAAGGGGAGACGTCAGACCTGGGACGGGTCTTGAAATACAGGTCAGACGTGGAAGGTGGGTGGGTTTTAGAAGGAGTTTCCAGGAGGGGTTTGTGGTAAGGTGGCCTGGTGGGAGCAGCACACCTTCCTGTCCAGGGTGGAGTGTGTGTACTGGGAAGTGGTAGAGGATGTTTGCCTCAGTTTGGGGGTTTCCCACTGCGATTTGCCACCTGAGCTGAAGGCAGAACAGTGGGATGAAGCAAGAAGTGGCCTCTTTCGAGCATTGGAGAGCAGAAAATCACCTGGGATGCGTATGCAAGATGCATCTTCCTGATGCCACCCCAGACGTAATGCATCAGTATCAGAGGGTGAGACCAGCAAGTTTTCAGTTTTAGCAGTCTCCCCAGGTGATTATGTAAAAGTCTGAGAACTGCTAGTCTAAGGCCACCATATAGGACTTCTAAGAGCAGAGTATAGAGTTGATGTGGATGTGGCCTCATAGGTATTGTGACAAGATGTCCTCTGGTGCTGAAACTGAAAAGACTGGTGAAAGAAGATGAGTGGAAAGGCAAAGTCAGCTACCGGGATATCGAGGTTGAGATTTCAAATGCTTTGGATGTGGAAGAGCAAGTCAGAAAAGGTAAGTACCCATGTTCCTACGTCATCACCTATTTGAGTGTCTGGTCAAACCGTGTGAAGTGGGCGGGTTCTGCCTCTCATTCTTTCCACTCTTCCATTTCTAGGCCTGTCCTGTTGCCTTGGGAACTCTCCCTTCCTCCTGCCCTCCCTCCCTCCCTCTTTCTCTCTCCTTCCCTCCCTCCATCTTTCCCTCCCTCCCTCCATCCTTCTCTCCCTCCCTCTCTCCTTCCCTCCCTCCCTCCCTCCTTCCCCTTTTCCCTCCTTCCCTGCCTCCTCTGCATCAGGCCCTCAGCTCCCTTGTATTTTCTCTTCTTTTACCCTCATTAAGACCAGTGCTTTAGACAGAATATGACACCAGTAGTTTATTGCTTGGTATGTAAGTAAGTATCTGAGAATAATGTGAATTTTAAATTTTAAAGCTTGCCTCCAAATATGACGTATCTGTCCCTTATTCAAGGGCATCCCCACTCCATGGATCTGATGGAAGAGGAATTGGGGTGGGGGGCTAGGGAACCCCCTCCCTTGTTCTAGTTAAAAGTCCTTCCAAATGCTGACTGGATCACCACTGAGGCCTATTCAGAACAAGTGGGCCTTTTCCTCCAAGAACAGAATCCATGTGTTTGCATAATCCTAATTTAGGCTAATTTATGGCAGGTCTCAATAGATGCAGACCACGGAGATCATTTTATCAATTTGAAACATCCAGAAGGAGAAATAGCACTTGAAGTAGATCAGGACAAAGTAGTGACACAGTTAGTTGCCGCTAAGCGTTAATGAGGTGAATAAGTAACTCTTTCCTTATTGACTTTAATTTCTTTCTAGCGTGTCATGCAGTTAAGTTTCAGCCATCTGGGAATGGTACAAAAGTGGCCTGAAGTGATACTCAGCAGTAGGAAAGGATGGGTTTGACTTCTATAAAGGTGGATGCACTAATGAACATTTATTGACCATTTTACAAAAGTTAAATAATGCTATAGTCAAAATGTTATTGTGTGTTTGTTGGGATTAGGTTGGCTGCCTGGGTCAGAAAACTCAAAATCACTGTGTGTATCAGTCAGCCCTTGCTGTGTAACAAACTAATCTCAAAACCTAATGGATTGGAACTGTTCATTTCTCATGATTCAGTGTATCAGCTGGGTGCTACTTTTCCTCCGGGCTGGCTGGGCTGGGGCCAACAGTCTGGGGTGGCCTTAGTCATGTATCCAAACCCTCGGCTGAAAGGACCAAGCTTTCTCTCCATGTGGTCTGTCATCTTCCAGGAAGCTAGGCTGGGCTTTCTGACATGGTGGTGGAAGGGTCCCCAGCATCAAGAGAGGGCAAGCCCCCAAGCATAAGTGCTTTTGATTTCTACTGGAATACATTTTGTGATGTCTTGTTAGCCAAATAAAGTCATATGGTCAAGCCCAGCTTCAAGGGGCAGACTCTCACTCCATGGGAGAAGTGGCAAAGTCACCATGTAAGGCAGCATGCATGCAGAGATGGAAGGGAACGTCAAGGCCATTTGTGCAAGCAAGTTACTAACACAGTGCTTTAAACAACGTGTCAGTTTATTTCTCTGTCCTGTGAAAGTCTGGAGGTGGGCAGACCAGAGCTGGGTTGGGGGTTTCAGTGTCAGGAACCAAGACTCCCCTCTTGTTTCTCCAAACTGTGTGGCCTCCACTCCAAGGCCCCGTCATGAATTAGTCAGCAAGTCCACGTTGCAGCCAGCTGAACATTGGCAAAGGGCATATCCTTGCCTCTTAAGCACATTTTCTGGAAGTTGTAGGTAACATTTTCACATATATCCCATGGGCCGGCCTGAATCTCATGACAGTGTCTCTGATCAATCGATATTGGAGGAACAATCAGTAGATTATGCCACACGTACCATTGTTACTATTGTTTCCATTCTAGGTTCTTGACTGGTATAGAACATACCAAAAATGCATTCTGGATGTAGAAAGAAGTAAAGTGGGATTAGCCAACAATTTGATGAAATAAATTCTTATCTTGAAATTTTCATTATTTAGGAGGAAGGAGCAAAATGAAATCCCTTGCCGATGCTCATCTTGCCTGAAATAAGCATGTTCCCCCCTGTAATTTTCCAGGTCATGTTTTAGGAATCCTCATGTAGTTTTATTTGTTTTAATTTTACTTCCTTGTTAATTTCCTAATACATCAAAGGAAGAGATTTAGATGTGACACCAGGAGCGACTTCTGGGCTCTGCTGAGCTTTGGACCGGTACAGGTCAGTGTCATCTTTAGAGATGTTTGCACTAGGGCTCTGCAGACAGTTCTGGCCACCAGCAGGGAAAATACTGAGTCATCCTTTGAAGCTCCAGAAAAGTGGATCTGCTCCAAATATGCCTTTATCCGTGAATCACAGCAGCCAGAAGGTGCTTTCAGAGGATTTGCTGTCATGAGAGACTTCTATCCTAAGCTCTCTTCAGTTTTTCCTTTTTCCCTCTTCTCTAGCCCAGAATGTCCTTGCTGGGGAAGGAGTGGGAATCAGTCAGGAGCTAGTCACTCTGGAAGTCAGCTCTCCTCATGTCCCGGATCTGACCCTGATCGACCTTCCTGGCATCACCAGGGTGGCCGTGGGCAATCAGCCAGCCGACATCGGACGTCAGGTGAAACTTCAGGCTCCGTCCTCATCTTAGCCTTGGGAGTCAAGGGGGCTGTGTTAGAGCAGCAGTAAGTTCAGGGATGAGTTTGAAGAGCGACAATTAGGAGGTGTCGAGTGGGGAATCTGAAGAGCGCAATGGTCTCAGTCTCCTCCACATTGGATGGAAGCTTCTCTGGGGAGAGTGAGACAAACAGGCAAAGTTGGAAATGCACTTTGCCTGTGGTTAGTGTTTTAGCCTGTGACTCGTTTTTGGTTATAGTTACGTTTTGTGGCATATCTCCACTGCCATGTATCAGGAGGGAGTTTTATGCGGGAAGAGAGGATTAGAAGCAAGCACAATGATATTTCCATGTCAATGAATCTTACCCTATGGATTAAAGTTTTAAGGAATAGTCAAGTCATTCTTTTGGCATCCTGTTTTTTCATGGTGACCGTCAGACTTGAGGTCTTGGGGGATAGTTAATGAGCTAAAACCTCGTGGTTTAGTTTCTCATAACTCTGGCTTAGGGAGTGCTGCCAGGCTAGTGCTGTTGGCTCATTTCTCTGCAGTTACTTCTTTTGAGGAAACACTCCCAGGACTCTGAGGGCCTGAAGCAAATACAGGGTCAGGACCTGTCTCAACTCTCATTTGGAATATTTACAAGGCAGCGCATTCATTTTCTTACAGATCAAGACACTCATCAGGAAGTACATCCAGAGGCAAGAGACGATCAACCTGGTGGTGGTCCCCAGTAACGTGGACATCGCCACCACGGAGGCGCTGAGCATGGCTCAGGAGGTGGACCCCGAGGGAGACAGGACCATAGGTAAGCAGAGGGAGGAACCTGAAAATGGTCGGTGGTCCGATAGTAGGAAAGCATTCTTTGAATCCAAGTGAGTGTTTCTTAGCACACACGCAGGGTGGGGGCTCTGCACCAAGCTTGAGGCCAGATGAAATGGGCCACATTCAACTCTTGGTTGGCTACAAGTTGTCTCGTAAACCTTGTCTACCTGCTTATAATAGGCATGCTGGGTTCAGGGGGCAGGGCAAAATCAGAAAGCAGTTCTACCAGTTAAGACAACGCATTTGAGGTGGAGGTGACCCCAGCGTCCACAACAGATGAATGGATAAACAAGATATGGTGTATCCATACAATGGAATATTACTCAGCCTCAAAGAGGAAGGACATTCCAATGCATGCTACAACATGGAGGAACCTTGAGGACATTAAGCTGAGTGAAGTAAGCCAGTGCAGAGGGCCAGGTGCTGTATGATTCCACGTATATGAGGTCCCTAGAGGAGTTGGATTCAGAGACAGGAAGTAGAAGGTTGGGTGCCAGGAGCTGGGAGGAGTGGGGAATGAGGAGCTAGTGTTTAATGGGGGCAGAGTCTCAGTTTGGGAAAATGGAATGTTCTAGAGCTGGATGGTGGTGATGGCTGCACAACAGTGTGAATGTGCTTACTGCCACTGAACTATACCCCTATAAATGGTGAAAATGGTAAATTTTATGTTAAAAAGGAATATATTTGGCTGTAAGTAGCAGAGAACCTGGGTACAGTGGCTGAAATAAATGGCTGTTTATTTTCCCACATAACAAGAGGTTTGGGCAGAAGCAGCCCACCTTTGTAGCAGTGTTCAGTAATGCTGCAGAACGTGCTCCGCTCCCACCTTCCTGCTCCACCATCCTCAGCAGTCGGCTTTCATCCTTTCCTTGTCCTGCTGCCTGCCACGCCCAGGGTGGGAGTCTCTTGGCCAGGGCAGCAGGCGCTAACAGACACTGTAAACCTTAGGGTTAGGCCTGGGCTGGCTGCATGGTGTGCAAGCTGGTCAGTCACCCAGGGTCCCGCCCACAGAAAGGCCTGTCCTTGGTTTAATGCTCTGCTGCTGCCGTCTGCTGTCCTCAATATTTGAACGAGCGGGTCTGCATCTTCATTTTGCAGTGGGGCCCGCAAAGGGTGTCGCTAGTCCTGGCGGGACCTTGGTTTCTCAAAGTGTGGGCCAGGCCCCTGCTGCACCAGAACTAACCAGAGAATTTTTAGGAAGGAAAGTCCCGTGAGCCCCCCCAAACCTGAATGAGAATCTCTGGGGCGGGGCCTAAGACTGTATTTTAAGACTCATTTGGGGTGGTTCTGCTGCACAGGGAAGTTTGGGAACCCCTGTAATAAAGAATGAACTTTTCCATCGGGCAGAAGGAAAATAGAAAGATGAGTCCATGCTGCTGTCTCCTTGGCATGAGGGCTGAGACCGGGGTGAAGTGAGCCCAGGAAGTGCCCCCCTGCTGCTGGAGGGTGAAGGGCACAGTCTCCTGCACTGGACAGAAGCAAGAGGGGCTGCCCCTTGCACCTTGGTTCTGCAGGGACTATTGTCTGCCCTCAAGCAAGGGTGGGAGGAAGCCGCGGGCCGGGGAACTCTCCTCCCCCAAGGTGGGCAAACTGACCTTTGCTTGCCACTCCCGCGAAGCCGTGGGCCGTCTCTAACCCCAAGCCTCTGGCTTCAGGAATCTTGACAAAGCCTGACCTGGTGGACAAAGGCACCGAGGAGCAGGTGGTAGACGTGGTGCGAAACCTCATCTGCCACCTGAAGAAGGGTTATATGATCGTCAAGTGCCGGGGCCAGCAGGACATCCAGGACCGACTGAGCCTGGCTGAGGCTCTGCAGAAAGAGAAGGCCTTCTTTGAGGAAAACCCATATTTCAGGTACGCCCGGCCGTGTGGTCCTGAGGGTAAACCAAAACCAGGGACCTCCGTCCTCACTGAGGAAGGTGTCCAGGAGCAGGTATTCCTCCCGCTAAAGGCGTGAATGTGTTTGCTCCTTGACAGTGACCATTGGGATTTGCCTGGAAGAACAAAAGAGGAATTCACAAAGTATTGCAAAAACTAAATTAAAAAAAATCAAAATGAGGAGGGGATTTGCTACGATGATTTAAATAGTATGGTGCTGGAACCAGCATAAAAACAAAAATAAAACAATAGAAAAAAGTAGAAAGCCCAGAAACAGACCCAGATACAGATCTTTGATCTGTGATACCTGTGGCATTTCAAATCCATGGGCTCCGTCAGTTTGATTATCAATTGGTGGCATTGAGATAATTGTTTAATATTTGGGAAAAAATTAAATTGTGCCCTTACTTAACATGTTATTACCAAAATAAATATCAGTTGAAGTTTAAAATTAAATACAAGAAAGAAGCCATAAGCATCCCAGAAGAAAATATAGACAGAGAGTTTATAATCCCAGGATAATGACCTTTTTTTTAACCTTAATGCCAAAGGGAAATTTTTTGAGAAGGAAAATACTGATAAGTTGGTTAGACTTAAACTAATGAGAAGATGGCGAGTTTGTGGGAAAGGAGGAGCGTGGACCTTCAGCCCCTGCGGCTGGGGGCATGTGCCAGCACCGCCTCTGCTTGGTGCTTTAGCAACGTGCAAATCCCCATGGTTCAGGTTCCACTTCTGGGAATTCCACTCAGGAGAGTAATCAGAGATGTGTGCAGTGATGTCTGCTAAAGGAGGTACAGCACAGATTTTGTTTATAATCGTGAAAATTTGGAACAATCCAGCATTGAAAACCAGGGGATTTATGTAAACAAACCCAAGGAAGTGATCACGGTGTGAACAAACTTTAGAGTGCTGTGCCAGGAAGATGCCGATAACAACATGCTTAGGAGATGTTAAGAGAAAGGCGACACGTTCACTGAGAACTTGAGTGCACACGTGTGTATGCAGGTGGAGATGCCTGTGCTCTGTACGCATTGTTCCACTCAGTTCTCCCAGAAGCCTGCAGATGTGTATAATTCAGAACCGATACTTGTACACCCATGGTCATAGCGGCATTATTCACAATAGCTGAAACATGGAAGCACCCTAAGTGCCCATTGACAGATGAATGGATAAACAAAATGTGGTGTATCCATATGGTGCAATATTATTCAGCCTTAAAAAGGAAGGACATTCTGACATACGCTACAACATGGATGAACCTTGAGGACATTATGCTGAGTGAAATAAGCCAGTCACAAAAAGATAAGCACTGTGTGATTCCACTTATTTGAGGTCCCTAGAGGAGTCACATTCATAGAGACAGAAAGTACAAGGGGAGGTGCCAGGGGCTGGGAGGGTGGAGGGTGGGGAGTTAGTGTTTAATGGGGACAGAGTTCCAGTTTGGGAAGATGGGAAAGTTCTGGAGATGGATGGTGGTGATGGTTGCACAACAATGTGAATGTACTTAATACCACTAAATTGTACACTTAAAGATGGTTAAAATGGTACGCTGTATATTACGTCTATTTTACCACAATTTTTAAAAATTGACAAGTGTGGAAACTGAAACGTAGGTGTGAGCGTGCCCTCGCACATAGGCATCTCTGCTCCCTTTTCCCTAAAGACTCCTTTAAAATGTAGAAAACCCTGTAGTGACTCATTTTGAGAACACAAATTTAGAAAAAGTGAGAAGGAGCTTGGCTTTCCTCCAGGCAGCCCATGGGTCAAATTCTTGTCTTGGGGGGTGTCCCCCAGCTCAGTGTTCAGACACACCCCTCGTCAATACGAGTCAATGTATTTTTATGAAGCCCACGTACCAGTATGCATTATGCGTACTTATACGTATATTACACACAGAAGGGGGTGTGTGTGTGTTATGAAAGCATATCTATAGATGACTATGTGTGTTTTTACAAAGACCCATTCTCTAGTCAGATGTCCTGAGACCCATTTAATATATCAGCTGGAAGGGATCATTCTATACCATTTTTGAAATACCCAAAATTACTAAAATTCAGTCACAATTCTATGCAGTCCAATTCTGAACGTTTCTTGGGTACCAGTTGCAGGACATTCCATCCAGTTGGGAATAACTGATTTGCCTTGACTTTCCCCAGCCGCAGAAGGCCGACTTGTCTTTTCCGGCTTCATGAAGATGGACGTGTACGTTGTCTTCTCTTGCAGGGGCCTTCTGGAGGAAGGAAGAGCCTCGGTCCCCTGCCTGGCGGAGAGGCTGACCACTGAACTCATCACGCACATCAGTGTAAGCGCGGGTAGAGCTGTCCATGCTCTGGATAGAATCCTGCAAACACAAAGCTAAACCGTGTCAGCTGCTTAAACATCAGGGTGCACACAGATGTCCTGGGGATCTTGTTAAGATGCAGGCTCAGATTCAGTGGGTCTGGAGGGCGGCCTGGGATTTCCCATTTCCAGCAAGCTCCCAGGTGGTGTGGATGTTGCTCGTCAGAGGACCAACCACACATTGAGTGGGATGCTGATAGACTGTATCCCCTTGGCCTAATTAAAAATTAAAATCTTATGAACACTGTCCTAACTCTTTCTTTCTTCTTGTCAACCACTGTCATAATACCTTGGTCATTGTAATGATCATATATTTCATTTCTTAAATTTCTCTGTGGTTCTTTTTCAAATCTGCCCAGACAGAGTCTCTTGCTTTTTCACCTTTTCAATCCTTTTAAAAGATTTCTTTGCACATATTCCTGTTACATTTTGTGCTCGATGATTCTACTGTCAGAGGCCTTGGTGCGTTGGGTTCTGCTGGCCGTCACCCAGAGTGACTTGGGTTGGAGTTTTGACTCTGAGCCTGTCTTTCTCGGAACTTGATCTGTAGGTATTTAGGGAAACCCGGGTTCAAGATGGGCTTCTCCAGGGAGACGCAGCGTTTGCTGCTGCCAGACCCCTGGAAGGGCCTCCAGCCTGAACCACTTTAGCTTCTCAGCTTGAGATTTTGGGGACCCCTCAGGGAGCATGAATTTGGGCAGCAACAGCAAACCTGTTTGAGGGCTGGCTTTTGATTACTGATTCTCAGCGGGTTTTATTTTCCCCTCCACTCGGCACCAGAGTTCAGGCGTTTCTCGCAGTCCCCAGGGATCGGGGTGGAGGGCGGGGGTGTTCCTGGCTTAGCATTACAAGGAGAGCATAGCTTTTCGGGGTCCGAGCTTTATGCAGAAAGAGGGCGCTCGCTCATTAGATGCCCGCTTTGAGCAAACCCCACAGGGATTTATCCTTTGCCCCGGTGCCAAGTCAGGCTCTGAAATGTAAGTTCAAGTTTTCTTTCCTACAAATCCCCTTGAGGCCAAAATGGCTTTGCTGCTGGTTTCATCGCACACCCCTGGGTGCCCACTGGCACCTGGCTTTGGCTTCTAAGTGTCTATTATGTACCTGCCAGCTCACTGACACATTTAAAGGGATGCTTTTGACATGATAGCCAGCATTTCTAGATGTCTGCAGTGGAAAGGTGAGCCAGCATGTGCTGTCCACCATATTATTATCAGAGACAGAAGTCCCCGATAACTTTGACCGTTAACAACAACGTGAAAGTTGTTGAATCTCAGATTGTTCCCACTGCCACTTTTCCAGAACCCACTAGACAAGCGGCTCTTTCTAAGCTCCCTGCAGAGAGCTTAGATAACCTGATCACAGAAGGAAATGTTCTTTGCGTTGCTCTGACGGGGCCCAGGAAGCAGGCGAAGTGGGAGCCTCAGCATGGCTTTGAGGCTGCTTCCACAGGAGCGGGAAGGCGGGAAGACCTGGATGGAAGACAGTGCCTGTTAATGCGCCCTCTCTCCCTCTGGAGGGTCTTCCTCCCAAGGGAAGTCAGGAGGTCGGAAGGACTGTGCAGCTGCCCTGTGCCTTGCAGAAGGAGGCCTGGGATCGCCTTCTCATTCCCTGTCCGTTTTTGTGGATTTTCATTATTTTCTCTCTTTTCCTCAGAAATCTCTGCCCCTGTTAGAAAATCAAATAAAGGAAAGTTACCAGAATCTATCAGACGAGTTACAAAAATATGGCACCGACATCCCAGAAGATGAAACTGAAAAAACGTTCTTCCTGATAGAGGTGAGTATTGCCAGCTGCCTCGACTGGAGAATCCAACATCGTGGTCCGGGGAGGGACCGTGTGCCTCGTGCACTTGTTTCTTCACTCTCCTGAAGCTGATCCCGACTCATTCTGCCCACTTAGTGTCAGAAAGGGGCCAGAGTTGAGGGACAGAGTGCATGGAATGAGGGGTGTGCACAGTCAGCGTGATGGATGGTCACATCCACTTCATTGACCCTTCATCAGGTGCACTTGCCCAAGAGCTAGAAGGCAATAAGGGGAGAGTTGGATGGTCTGGTGCCAAAGGCTCTCCTTTCCCTTCATCCCACAGTGGCCCGTAAGGCAGCAAAGAATGACTTGCCCACCCTCAGCACACGCACGACCTGCAGACCACCTCAATGTCTGTGTTTGAAATATCTCCACTTGTACTTTCGTTTTTCTTCTTGACAGAAAATTACTACATTTAATCAGAACATCACCTCTTTCGTACAAGGGGAGGAACTTGTAGGACCCAATGACACTCGGCTGTTTAACAAAATCCGACAGGAGTTCCAGAAATGGAGTGGGGTGATTGAAAACAATTTCCGAAAAGGTGAGTCCAGGGCACCGTCGTAAACCTGGCGTGCTGGGCTGAGTGGGAGGCCAGGGAGGCGGGGGATGTGGCTGGTGAGGATGGCCGGAGTAAGGAGGTGGTGATGCAAAGGCGACATTTGCTCTTTCCACGTCACTGTACTCGGGCCAGCAGGCATCTGTTACTGATTTCAGAGGACACCCGGAGAGAAAATGCACATTAATTGGCCCACATCAATCATGGCCTCTCAAAGAATCAAACCTCCCATCATCATGAGCAGGTGGACGTGGCATGTGTATCATCCCCTTTGTGTTACAAATGGTGCCACCACTGAAGTCACCTAGAGTCGGTCTTGGTCTTGGTCTCAAAGCTTGGCCTTGAAGCCAGATGTGTATCTTAATGGGTTTGACAGTCTCAACAATGAACCAGAAAATAAAACAGTGTACAAGGTGCCACGCCGGCGTTTTCAAATCATCAAGAGTCTGAAAAAGGTAGAAAATGTGATCTGAAATCTATTTTTTAATATGTCAAGTAGCCTAAAGGAAATCGTGTACTGACCAATGATACAGCTATAGCAGCTGAGAGAAATTTCAAACGACTTTGCTTTTATCCCAGCAACGTGGCAGGCATGCATAATTTATTCCAGTTGAGTATAGCTTCAGGTGGGCACTTCTCCTTGGCTTTGAGTATGAATGCGGGAAAATAAATCTTACAACTTTTTACATAATTCAAAGGCCACAACTTTGAGTGCGCTCGTTCCTCAGCAGAGGGCGTGTAGGGCAGGATTGGGTAAAGAACAGCTCTTCTGGATGGAAAAATATTCTTGAAGCTCATGCTGGGGCAGTAACTTGCCATGTCTCCGCAGTGCCCATTGCTGCTTACCACTGCTACATTCCAGAGCAGAGGGGTGAAGGCCGGCGGTGTGGTGTGTTCTCGCATCGGAAAGGGCTGCTCTCCCCCTTCCCAGGGAGGCAGCAGCCCTCAACTTCCAGCAGTTCCTATGTGTTGCTCAGGCTGCATTTTATGGCACGCAGCCCGTGAGAAAATAACTCATTTTTTTTAAATGCTAAATTCCTCCCAACAAATTATCAGTTGCAAATCACTGGATACCCAGATGCAAAAGAATGGATCTGGACCCCTAAGTCTATACAAAAGTCTATACACCCCCTATACAAAAATTAACTCAAAATTGATCAAAAACCAAAATGTAAGAACTAAACTATGAAACTCTTAGAAGAAAACACAAGTTCAAATCTTCGTGACCTTGGATTAGGCCATGGTTTTTCGGGTAGGACACCTAAAGCACAAGCAACAAAGAAAGAAATAGACAAATTGGACTTCATCAAAATCAAAAACGTTTGTGTGTCAAAGGGCACTATCAAGAGAGTGAAAAGACACCCCACAGAATGGGAGAAAATATTTGCAAATTACATGTCTGAAAGGATCTAGTATCCAGAATATATAAAGAGCTCTTACAACTCAACAACAAAAAGACAAATAATTCAAACATGGAGAAGGAATTGGAAGAGACATTTCTCCAAAAAGAAGATATACAAATGGCCTATAAGCACATGAAAAGAAGCCCAGCATGGTTAGCCATCAGAGAAATGCAAACAAAATCCACAATGAGATCGCATCTCACACTGACTAAGATGGCTGTCGTCAAAAAGACAGATAATAAGGAATATTGATAAGAGTATGGAGACGTCAGAGCCCCATATCCTGCTGGACAGAATGTAACATGGCGTAGCTGCTTTGGGAACATTCTGGCAGTTCCTGAGAAACCTAAACATACAGTTACCCTATGACCCAGCAGTTCCATTCGTAGGTGTATACCTGAGTGAATGGAAGCAAACATTCATGTAGAAACTTGTATGTGAGTGTTCTTAGCAGCATTGTTCATAATAGCCAAAAAGTGGAAATAACTTGAAGCTGCATCCACTGATGAACGGATAAACAAAATGCAGTGTATCCATGGGTATTAGTTTGTTAGGGCTGCCAGAAAGCGCCACCTACTGTCTTATTAAACAAGAGAGATTTATTTTCTTACAATTCTGGAGGCTGGAAGTCCAACATCAAGGTGTCAGCAGGGTTGGTTCCTCCCGAGCCTCTCTCCTTGGCTTGTAGACAGCTGTCTTCTCCCTGTGTCCTCAGTTGGCTGTCCCTTGGGGCGTGTCTGTGACCTAGTCGCCTCTTCTCATAAGGACACGGTCAGATTGGAGCAGGATCCACCCTCATTTCAACTCACTCACCTCTCTAAAGGCCCTTTCTCCAAGCAGTCCCGTTCTGAGGCGTTGGGGGCTAGGATTGCAGCATAGGAATTTTGAGGAGACACAGTTCAGCCTGTAACACCAGGCAATGGGATATTATTCAGCCATGGAAAGGCGTGAAGGACTGATACATGCGACAACATGGAGGAACCTTGAAGACATTATGCCCAGTGGAAGAAGCAGACACCAAAGGCCACATGTTGTCTGATTCCACTCATGCGAAGTGTCCAGAAGAGGCAAGTCCATTCAACTAGAGAGTAGATTAGTGGTTTCCAGGGGCTGGAGAGAGAGGGAAATGGGGGGTGATGGCTGATGGCCATGCGGTTCCTTGGGGTGATGGAAATGTTTGAGGATAAGATAGAAGTGAGGGTTGCACATCTTTGTGAATATACTAAAAATAGCTGAATGGTAGACTTTCATAAGGTTAATTTTATTGTACGTGAATTATATCTTAATTTTAAAAATTCCTATGAGAAAATATCCCCTGACCAGACTACCACGCCTGGTTGTTTTTTCAAAAAAGAAGAACCAGAGGCCTTCTGAGTTTCCACCCCCAATGGCGGTGTTTCTCCATAGTCTAGTTTGTTAAGAGTAAAAAGAATTCCAAAAGTAAAAAGAAAAAAGAAAGTGGGGTAAACAGTGTTGCATGTCACACTAATAAGATCTATGTGCCCAGCTACTCCATCATCCGCTTTGATTTATAAATACTTTCTACTCATGTGACAGCACGTGAATATGTGATGTTAGCTGATTCTGGATGTGTCCCTGATCATGTCTAGTTTTTAAAGGGCCTGCAGGTCATGATATCCTATGATGCAATCTTTTTGGTAAAAATCAAATTTGATTTACATAATCTCATGCTCAAGTACCTTTTCAAGAACACCTGTTACTCTGAGTTGCTGCGTCCACTGCTTTCTGGCATCACACCGTGGTTTGTTGCTTGCCGTCTTGAGATGACTAAGGAAAATTATCTTGAGATTTGTTTCTTTGTTGCAATCCCTGAATGTTTTTCAATTTGCTTGCCACTCTGTACTTTCAGAAAATCCAGAATGGTATTGTGTTTGGAAAAACTTGCAAGGTTATTATTATTATTTTTTTGCTGAGGAAGATTCGTCCCTGAACTAATATCTGTTGCCAATCCTCCTTTTTTTTTTTTTTTTTTTGCTTGAGGAAGATTAGCCCTGAGCTAACGTCTGTGGCCAGTCTTCCTCTATTTTGTATGTGCAATGCCGCCACAGAATGGCTGATGAGTGGTGTAGGTCCATGCCCAGGATCTGAACCCAGAAGCGGAGTTCACCAAACTTAACTACTAGGCCACTGGGCCGGCCCCAAAGGTTATTTTTATAAAATAATTCAGAGTCCTTCTTTCCTACCGTAGGTGGCGAAGCTATCCGTAGACAGATCTGGACATTTGAAAATCAGTATCGTGGCAGAGAGCTACCAGGATTTGTGAATTACAGGACATTTGAGACGATCATCAAACAGCAAATCCAGTTGCTGGAAGAGCCAGCCATTGATATGCTGCACAGGATAAGTGGTGAGTTCTTGGGTTTGCTTTTAAGCATTTTGTTTCTAGGGCAGGGAAGATGTTGAACTGAAGCCAGAGCCAGACTTCAGAGCTCTCCTCCAGGGGTGTTTTCCATCACCAACGACCCAGCCAATTCCCTGATTCTCCAGACGCCAAGTGGGTGTTCAACAGTTCAGTCCAGTTCAGACACTAACTGCCCCGAGCGAGCACAGACCCCACAGCTTAAGGGCTCCGTCCCATGAGACTGCCCCCACTTCAGATGGCGGTCACGGGTTCATGTCCCCTGTACTTCTGACCGACCAGCCGTACATCAGAGTTCCCACACTTCCCTCCTCGGGTTCAATAAGTTGCTAAAACAGCACATGGAACTCAGAAACACACTGTACTTACCTTCACCACTTTATTATAAAGGATAATATAAAGGAAGCAAATGAAAGAGACACACGGGGCAAGGTCCGCGGGCAGGAGGTCCCAAGGGCAGGAGCATTTGGGGGCACCACCCTCTTGGCACGTGGATGTGTTCACCAACCTGGAAGTTCTCCAAACCCTGTCGTTCAGGGGTTTTTATGGAGGTGTAATCAATTATCACGTAGGCCTGATCACTTAGGAACCTAATCTCCAGTCCCTTTCCCCTCGGGGAGGCGGGGAAGGTGGTGCTGAGAGCTCGGGCTTCTCATCATGGCTTGGTCTTCCTGGCGACTGGCCCCCATTCTGAAGCTGTCTAGGGCCACCGAGAGTTAGCTCGTTAGAACAGGAGACGCGCCCATCCCCCAGACATTCTGAGGGATTCAGGAGCCCCGTGTCAGGAACCGGGGACACAGGCCAAGGATGTATTTCTTGTTGTACCGCACCTCCACTCTGCCCCGCTGCTGGGACTCCTTCCCAGTCTCAGAATCCTCTGTTGATTTGAAATCTCTGAGGACTAAGGTCAACGACTAGATAACTGTGTGCCGTGGGAGTGTCTCGAGCGTTCTCGAGTGTTGTGTGACTCTGGGGTGCTGGAATGACTGTGTGGATAGGAAATGCTATCAGCAGCCCGTCGAGGAGAAATGCAGCATTTCGTAGGATGGAACCACTCCCTTCTCCCTGAAGTGTTTTGCTCCTTGGTTTCCGAGATGCTGTTGAATCTCGTCTCTTCATCTGCTCCTTGGCTCACACCATTCTCATCAGGCTTCAAGTGTCTCATGTTAGCAACATGTAATAATCATTCATGGACCCATGAACCTAGTAGAGGTGAGGGGACAGTGTCATAACAGCTCATTAAGAGATGTGTTTCTAGTAAAATTTACCTTTAGGCTTAAAATATACCAAATGGGCTTATATATGTATATATAAGCTTATATATATGTATTTGTATTATATTATATTATATTATATTATATTATATTATATTATATTATATTATCTGTATATGTAATATATACCAATAGGCTTAATTATATACCAAGCTCTGTAATTGTGTTGTGTTGATCAATTGTGCACTCTTAATTCTGTCCTGAAGAAAATCTGTAGTACTTAGAGATGTATAGAAAAAATTTAAAAACCAAACTATGTATACTGACTTCTGTTTCAGAAAGATAGGATATGGAGCAAATAAAAGATTTTCAAGCATAAAGATACAGTATGTCATATTAGGATAAAATTCTGTGAGGAAGTCAAATGGATTTCAAAAATAAATGAAATAGCTTTCAAAATTAAAAAGAAATACTGTAAATTTTTTTATTTAAATAGGAGCTTGTCCATGTATTTCTTTTCAAATGGATGATGTGGACATTTAGACTCCGTTGGTATATTTAAAAATGAGTGTTTGCCTGTAAAATAGTGATACCTTGATAACTTAGCAGAAATTACATTCTCTGCAACTATTTATACTTAGGATGAAAATTTTAGATGTCACATAAATATGTCAGGGGACATTTAGGTTTTAAAATTCTTCTGGGGAGTTCTGGAGCAAAAAATCACACCTTCCTCCTTTAGTGAAAAGAGGAGAAGAATGAAGGCAGAGGAGAGAGAGAATTTGTTTCCTGCCATTTTATCCTCTTATTTTTTGTGGTCTATAAAGATTATGAATGATTCTACCAATACTGGACCATTTTTTTTTTTCTTTCACCAGATCTGGTCCGGGATACCTTCACAAAAGTTTCAGAAAAAAATTTCAGTGAATTTTTCAACCTCCACAGAACCACCAAGGTAAAACCAACCATATGTTATTTAAAAAAAAAAAAAAAATGTAAGCCTGACACTGGCCAATAGATTTCTTGAATTAAGACCATTGCGACTTTATTGTGTATTTGGAGAAGCTAATAATCAGGCTCATTGGTGAATCTTTCTAATGATATTACCAGTGATGTCTAGTTAAAAGACTAAAAGAGGGAGAGCAGAGTGAGAGAAGTCAGAAATAAAATATTTAAAGTCACAGGAACAAACGAGAGCCATGGTTAGGGTAGCACGTTGTCCCATGTGGAGAAAATGGCCCTAAATCCAGAAACTCATTCAGGAAGCCAAATACAAAAATAGTATCTTTCAAGAGTGGAGAGAGAGAGCAAAGAGGACAGGAGATGCCCCCACCTCCAGTAACCCAGAGACCAGACTCAGCCCACTCAGAAACAGGGGCCTTTGTCAGCCCAGGCTGCTGCAGCAGGTGCCACGGCTGGGGCGTTCACACAGCAGGTGTTTATGTCTCCCAGTTCTGGGGGCTGGGAAGCCCCTGATGAAGGTGCTGGCAGATGTGGTGTCTGATGAGAGCCCACCACCTGGCTTGTGGGTGGCTGCCTTCTCATCGTATCCTCACGTGGCAGAGAGAGGGGTGGCTGGAGAGAGAGTTCTCCGGAGTCTCTTTTATAAGGCACTAATCCCATTCATGAGGGCTCCACCCTAATGACCTACTCACCTCCCAAAGGCGCCCCCCCTCCAGATGCCATCACATTGGGAATTCGCTTTTCAACCTGTGAATTTGGGGGGGCACACAAACCCTCAGTCCCTAGCCCCCAGCCTAGACGGGAAGACCGGCTCTGCCATTCACTGGCCGGGGGTCTGGGGGTATGCTCCTTAACCCGCCTGGGCCTCCACCAACTCACCCACAAAAGGCGACTAAGAGAACCTTCCTCGCAAGTTTGTAACGAACAGGGAAGCAAATGCTTAGGATGTCCCTAGCACTGTGCATTGCATTCGATGAGGTCTTGGGGGTCCAGTTGTTTTCTGCGTGAGAGATCTCCTCCCTGGTTTTCTGGCAGCTGGTTTCTCTAAACCCCAGGAACATGAAACACTGAGAATTTGATTGATTTCAGTTTGGCCCTCGTCTTACCCCTGTGAGCTCCGATGGGGAATTTACTCCTCCTCGTCAGAGGGAAAAGCCCATAAGAGGAAAGACAGCAGCTGAGCCTCGGGCCTGAGAACAGAGCCCGCCAGGTCCCCGGGCTCTGGGGTTGAGGGGTCTGCTCACCTGTGTGGCTCAGGTCCCCCCGGGAGCTTCTGCCCCTCTGCCGCCTTGCTCTTTGCGGACTTTGCAGAAGACCTGTTTTCCTCCGACCCAGTGATTCATTGCTTGAGGGAAATTTTGTGGCATTTCTCTTCTGCTCTAGTCCAAACTTGAAGACATTAAATTAGAACAAGAAAATGAAGCTGAGAAGTCGATCCGACTCCACTTCCAAATGGAGAAGATCGTCTACTGCCAAGACCACGTTTACCGGGGCACGTTACAGAAGGTCAGAGAGAATGAAATGGAGGAGGAGAAGAAGAAAAAAACAATCAACGTCTGCGGTCAAAACACTTCCACAGAGTCCTCGATGGCAGAAATCTTGGAGCATCTCAACGCCTACCAGCACGTGAGTCCACCAGTGTCTCAGAAAGGCGGCTTTCCTTGCTCTTCCTTTCCTTCCACATGCCTCCCTCTGTAGTCTTATTGTCTCTGTAAGTGACCGTCAGCCAGCTCCATCGTTCCACCTTGTGTGAGCCTCTGTAGAAGCAACTTGACCTCAGATAGATGAGAAGATGTTGTGGCTTGGAGCCACTTACCTCTGGTTTTGACTGGCTCTATTGCTCTAGACAAGTTACTTAGCCTCTTAGCCTCAGTTGTCTTCTCTATAAAATGGCATCTCCTCATAGGGTTCGTGTGAATTTTCAGTGAGACGAGAGTGGGTGAGTCCCTTGCATTGGAATGCAGTGGCAGCTTGCCACTTAGAAGCTACTCATAAAGACGCATGCTTTGATTGTACAGTACATTTCAAATAATGTGAAGGGCGATCTAATTTATCCTGGGGAAGGATGCACAGCTCAGTCAGGACTTTGGGATGTGTAAGCGTCTAGACAGCGAGAGCAAATGGTAGTCTCTTGGTTTAGCAGAAACCTCCATCACTTCACTATTTGGATGCTTAAGGCAGTGCTTCTCAAACTCAGCCATGCACGCAGACCTCCCAGAACCACGTTTTGTGTCTCTATTTCTCCATCCACCCATTCATCTGAAGAATACTGCTGTGAGCATGGCCGAGCAACTCTACGCTCCCACTTCTGTTTATGCAGAAATTTTCTGCCTCTCCTCATTTGTTCCAGTTTCAGTATGAATTTTAGAATTAGCTTATCCAGTTCCTTATGAAAAAAGAGAACTGTTGGTCTCCTTATTGGGATCATGTTCAGTTTATAGGTCCTCATAGGGAGAGTTGCCATCTTTATCACATCGAGTCTTCCTGTCCCAGAGCATCATGGGTCTTTCCATTTTTAGGATCCCCTTTCGGGGGAGTCTCAGAAGCATTTTAAAGTTCTCTTTAGGTAGATGGTGCATATTTCTGGAGTTTATTCCCGTGTATTTTCTCATTTTTGTCCCTACGATAGATGAGTCTTTTCTTCCATTATATCTTCTGTCTGTTGTTAGTAGATATGATTTCTGTGTATTATGCTATACCCCTTCCCCATGCGGATTCTCTTATTGTTTGTAGTGGTTTTACAGCTGAGTCTCGTGTGTTCTCCCAATGAACATCATCCCTTTGCAAATAGCGATTGCTCTACGCTCCCCTTCTCTCTCCAATTTTAGGCCTCAAACTTCCTTTTCTTGCCTCGTCTGGTCCGTTTAGTGCACCTAGAAGCAGTAGTGGCCCTAATAGGCAGCCTGGTCTTGTCCTTGACTCCAGTGAGAATGCCGCTGGTCCCCATTAAGCCTGATCCTCGTTGGCTAACATCAGGGTGTCAGCAGGACTGAGCTCCTCCTCCAGGCTCTAGGGTGAATCCGTCTCTCTGCCTCATGCAGCTTCTAGAAGCCTCCCACATTCCGTGGCTCGGGGCCCCTCCCTCTGTCTTCACATGTTCCCTCTCTCCCACCTTCTTGCACAGTCTATCTTCCTCTGCCTCCCTCCTTTGCATCGGGCCCACCCATAACCCAGGATAATCTCCCTATCTTAACGTCAGCTGGTTAGCACGCTGAATTCCACCTGCAGCCTCAGTTCCCCTTTGCCATGTAAGGCGACACATTTGCAGATTCCCTGAGGAGGACGTGCACATCTTTGGAGCTATTGCTCTCCCGAGCACCCTCATCATTAGATGAGATGCATTTCCCAGCGTCAGTGATTTGCACAATGTCCCCATGGGCACTGGGGAAAGGGCCCAGAGGAGCTGATTTTCACCACTCAGAAATTTCTTCTCAGCGACCAAAGAGATGATTTCCTGCAAACTTGGCTCATCTGTGTGAGTCTTTTTGGGACCCACCTCCTCATCTCCCCGAGCCCAACACTTGCTCACCATGAGGATCCCACTCAGGAAAGGATTTCCCTCTGCATCTGACACTCGCTGCTCCTCCCCACGTTTCCTCTGCCCCCTCCTCCACGTGGCTTGGCCTGACCACCACTGCTTTTGTTACACGTGGGTCAGAGGCTGTGCATTACCTGTCTCCCACTTCCGCCAAAACCCTCGAAGTTTTGGATGATCTCCAGGAGAATGAGAAAATGACTTGCCGCCATGTTCATACCAGAAGTCTCAAGAGATATTTTGGGTACCTGGCGTCCCTCTAGATCTTAGCCATTCCTTTCAGCTTGTGTCCGTTCTCCAGCATCGAACCTCAATGCCTGTGGCCCCCGACATCCCTCTTGAATGCTTTCCATCTGCTTGCTCCCTCTCCTTTCCTCCATTTGCGTTTGGTGACAGACCGTGTCCCTTACTCATGCTCGTCCTGAAACACATAGCATATGGGCCATCTCCATCTCACAGACGCTCTCAGTTAACATCCACTGGGTGCTTGCTCCAGGCCCGGCATCTTTCCAAACTTTTATCATTTAGTTCTTTGAATCTTCTTAACCATTACGTGAGGCCAGGTGCTAATGTTTTATAGAGAAAGACACTGAAGCACAGAGGGGTCTCGGAACTTGCTAAGGTCCCAGTGTGTGTCTGCTTCCTGCGAGATCAGCCTGTCTTTGGAACGAGAAACTTTTCTCTAATCGATGGGAGTGGGGAGGGAGAAGGAAGGGTTGAAACTAACTGTCCACATGCACGGAACTCCGAGGGCTCCGTTCTCTGGCTTTTGATAGCCCAGCCTCTTTTCTGCTAAATAATTTTCTTGTTGATAAAAAAAAAAGTCATAAAATCTCTTCAGCAGAGTTGTAAATAATTTGAAGACGTAGTTTTTTTTATTCAGTCTGTCCATTTGTCTGTTTAGAGCACATTTTACCCTCTTCCGTCAGAAGTAACCATTTCATCATTGGGGAAAGCTAGTGGGAAGGCAGAGTCGGGGTTGGCCCTGACTCCTAGCCGGGGCGCTCTCTGCACCCAGCATGGTTCCTCGCTGCCTCTAGCACAGAGGATGCTGATGGGTTTGAGACGCAGGCGGGGACCTTGCTCTCCCCGGGCCCAGGTCCCTCCTGGTGCTCACATGGTGAGGGCAGAGTCTCTTTGCAATGTCCGCTCAACCCTCTGTGCACTGTTCCTTCTTCCAGGAGGCCGGCAACCGCCTCTCGACCCACATCCCCTTGATCATCCAGTTCTTCGTCCTCCAGACATTCGGCCAGCAGCTGCAGAAGTCCATGCTGCAGCTCCTGCAGGACAGGGACACCTACGACTGGCTCCTGAAGGAGCGCAACGACACCTGTGACAAGAGGAAGTTCCTGAAGGAGCGGCTTGCTCGGCTGGCCCAGGCTCGGCGCCGGTTAGCCAAGTTCCCGGGTTAAATCGGGCTCTCTGTCTCAGCCTCATGTCTCCATGCACATCTCCAGGGAGCGGAGGCCCAGCATCTCTCCCCAACAGCCACACCATCATTAGTTACCCATTCACAGATACCCGAGCGGTTACGGGTCAGGCTTGGTGGTCACTGTCTGTGCTTGTCCTTTAGTGGATAAGGATGCGCTAAGAAGCTGTGATGAGCGATTTGGTTTCAAGCATTGAGACTAGAGCCCCGCCTTCATGTAGCATATGCTTTAGACTGAATGAGCAGTGCCATTTTCTGGTTAGGAGAAATGGTTTTCTACCCCCAGGATTGGTCCTCGTCTCCAGACTCTCTCCATCTCTTTATCAGAGACCGATGTACGTGCAGCATCATGGAACGGTTATTTTCGGTTTTTTTGTGTTGTCCTTTCGCATACCCAGTGTTTTAGGCGTGTGAGTGCTGCTTGTGTGAATGCTTGTAGATGCCATGTTTCATCTATTTGTAATAAACTTTTTTCTACTAGACATTTCTCTCACGCTTCTTCTTTGGGGAGAAGCCTGGAAATGACAGCACGTAGGAAGCAGGTGGAGCAGACGATCAGGCCCTGACGCTGCCCTCGGTGGCTGGGACAGGCAGGAACAAATGAGCTGAGCTGAAGAACATGGTCTGGTTATTTACAAGGGAAGGGTAGGGAAATGGGGAATAAAGTTACAAAAGTGAAACAGAATGGGAAGCGAACGGCATGACGTCTCTCTAACACGCACTGATCAAGTGTCCGACTTGTCACGTCGCTGGGTGGCTGGCGTGGAGTGAAGAAGATAGAAGTCCGAGTCAAGAGAGGCCACCCAGCGGGATTTTGAGGAGATGCTCTGGCGAGGGCGGGGGTCTGAGAAGCAGAGAAGGTGGCGTATTAACCAGGAACCGCCCCAGAGAAGCACAGCCGGGTCCCGACTGTTCTCCTTGGGGTGAGGACCTTCTCAGACACCCCCTCCACAGCCAGCTTAGGGGCAGGAAACCGAACCACGGGCTGTGGCCGGGCGGGGTGTGAAGGGACCTGCCACCAGGTCCTTTAAAGTGGGAGTTGAAGCATCACGATGCCCGAGCCCAGAGGAGAGGAGGCCAGGGGACAAGAAGAGAGATGCGGCATGTGGCTGGCCGTGCCAAAGGGGAGGATCCGTAAGTGAACATTCCCCAGCAAGACACATTCTACACAACCAACATGGGCGCAGGAGCACTTTCCACAGAGATATCCAGAAGTGGAGGGGCTGCCTCGAGAGCTGTGTGCCCCCAGGAAGCAGGGGGCTTCGGGCCAAGCTGGACAGACGCTCATCAGGGCGGAGGTGGACTAGCCACATGGTCCCCTCCCATCAAGCCCCTCCCCCCAGATCCCTCCTGACACACAGGACTCTTTGATCCTCAGTGTTTTGGGCCAATATGAGAATTTATTCATAAGAGGGAGTGTCAGGGGAACAATGGGCGTTCGACAAGTTCCGATCAACGCCAGCTGTGGGGCAGCGCCTCGAGGCCTCTGCCAGGTGCCAACTGCACACCTGCCGGTCGCCTCGCTCTCTCAGGAGCCAGTTGGCCCATGCTTACAGGAAACGCACAGGCGTCTGTAAGAGCTGGTACAAACAAGCAGTGCACGCATCCCTAATCCAGCACAAGGCATGCGTCCCTTTAATTGTAGCCAGCTCTTGCTTCTGTGCCTGGGAGCCATCGGAGGCAGGCCCCTGTCCCGGAGCCGGCGCCCTCTCGTGGCTGGCCTGAGGAACTTCTCCAGTACCAGCGTCCCTGCCATGAACCGGAAGATTCTGCAGGGACCAGAGACAGTCAGAGGTGTCAGAGTTGCCAAGTGTTCTTAGCTGTTGTCACAGTTTTCCTGGAGATTCCTAGAGAGGGTGGAGGAAGAAAGCTGATAGGATGTGCTCCCGGGAATGGCGATTTACCCTGGGAGTAAATCTGCTGGGGACCTACGAGGTGCGATCATTTACCTTTTGGCCAGCAAGAGCAGGTGTCTAGGGACATCCCAGGCCTGTCCAGGAGAAGTGTGCTGTCCCTCGTCCCAGGTGTCCAGGACTCCAGGAAAGACAGCCCTGGAGACCAGTTCTTGTGATTCCTTCACTCAGAGGGTGGCCAGGCTCAGGCAAAAGGTTGAACGCCCCTGCCCTGTCTCCCCACCCCCGCCTTATCCCCGCTCCCCACCCATGAGGGGCAGCACCAGGATCAGAACCTGCGTCCCCAGACTCTGCTGCTGATCTACAGCACAGCTCGAAGGTCCATCTATCTGTGCAGAACGAGCTAGAATAGCAATGATGTCCACTTAGGGACTCTCCTTCCAGGCAAGTCTGGGGCTCGGCTGACCCCATGGGATGGGGCTCCGTTTGGAACAGAGTGAGGAGAGAGGCCGCATAGAATGAACTGATTAAAATAGAAAGACTTGGGGGCTGGCCCCGTGGCCGAGTGGTTAAGTTCGCGCGCTCTGCTGCAGGCGGCCCAGTGTTTCGTCGGTTCGAATCCTGGGCGCGGACATGGCACTGCTCGTCAGACCACGCTGAGGCAGCGTCCCACATGCCACAACTAGAGGAACCCACAACGAAGAATACACAACTATGTACCGGGGGGCTTTGGGGAGAAAAAGGAAAAAATAAAATCTTTAAAAAAAAATAATAAATAAAATAAAATAGAAAGACTTGGTTTTCTAGAACACAGAGTCTGGCATGCAGCAGGTGCTTAATAAATGCTGTGGGAGACACCGGGCACCTGTTCGAATGACTTTCTGGATGTGTGACTATCCTCTAAGATCCCGTGAAGCACCTGCACCTGTTACTGTCCTTCTCAAACAAAAGCAAAGACTAGTGCGACCAGCCAGCCAGGAAAGTCCCCCAAACGCCAGCTCTTGTTTGGGAAGGCAGGGATCCCATGCAGATTCTCCACCAGGGGGCACGAAAAGCAGCAAAAGAGACAAGCGTTCGATTTCTCAGGTCCCTCTTTTATTTTCCTCCAAAGGAAGAGCGATTCATGTAGTGGGGTAGGTTTTCAGTCAGATATAAGATTAGTCACAGCAAAGGGAGGGCTCAAACACTGATGCTCTGGGGGCTAATTCATTTAAAATGAGGCAGCCATTACATTAGTGAATTTTTTTAAGTGTTACTTTCGAGGTGGCACAGCTGCCAGCCCTCCGTGGCCGAGTGGTTAAGTTCGTGTGCTCTGCTTCGGCGGCCCAGGGTTTTCCAGTTCCGATCCAGGCGTGGGCCTACACACCACTTATCAAGCCATGCTGTGGTGGCATCCTACATAGAAGAACTAGAATGACTTACAACTAAGATGCACTGGGGCTTTGGGGAGAAAAAAAAAGAGGAAGATTAGGGGCCGGCCCCATGGCTGAGCAGTTAAGTTCGCGAGCTCTGCTTTGGCACCCCTGGGTTTCACCAGTTCAGATCCTGGGCACAGATATGGCATCGCTCATCAGGCCATGCTGAGGTGGCATCCCACATGCCACAAGTAGAAGGACCCACAACTAAAAATACACAACTATGTACCGAGGGGATTTGGGGAGAAAAAGCAGAAAGGAAAAACAAAAAAAAAAGAAGATTGGCAACAGTTGTTAGCTCAGGTGCCAATCTTTAAAAAAAAAAGTGGAAGATTGACAACAGATGTTAGCTCAGGGCCAATCTCCCTCAGCAAAAAAAAAAAAAAAAAAAAAAAGCGTGCATGTGTGCACACACACTCTTCCAACACCCTCTGAACACTGATATCAAAAAAAAAAAATGTCGCATAAATTCCAGCACTTTTCTTAAAACACTGGGTGCCCTGGGAGAATGTGCTCTGGCGTGTACCATATCGTCTCCCTATGTCACCCTCCCTTGGTGTCCAAAGCAGCACAGGGCTGCGGCCAGGCGATTCGATTCCAACCAGGGGTGTGGGGGCTCTTTATAAGTCAGGTTCCAGGTGAAGCCTTGGTTGGAATGGACAAAGGCTCTGAAACAGGAGCAGGATGAGGAAAGCCACAGCAGAACAGAGAAAGAGGCAGGAACAGCCCCGGGACCTGAGTTGAAGGCAGGACTGTCCGGTAACCACTCAGCAAGAGGCTTTCAAGGTGGCCGTGCGTGTCAATGCCGAGAACTCTCCCGCTGACCCAGCTGCAAGAGGCAATGAAAGGATCAGAACAGATGACGAGCTTTTATTAAGACTCGTGTTTTCGCTTTACTGCAATTAGCGTTTTGTTTATACATACGTATTCACACTGAAGTCTTTTATAAAGGTTTAAATACAAAAATAGCAATATTTCCCTAGTCTCCGCATTCTAGCTACATCTTTTAAGTGAAATCAACCTCATCCAAAAGTAAAAGCATTCACCAGGGTGACTCCAAAATGAAAAATATGACTGAAAAGATTGTCAACCACCCTGCCCACGTGGACGTGTTAGGCACTCAATCGTCATTATTCGCGGATCCCTCATTTGTGAATTCGCCCCCTAAAATTTATTTGTAACCCCCAAATCAATACTAGCAACACTTCTGGGGACATCTACAGAGCAGCAAAAGATTTGTGTCTCCCTACACTTAACGTTCCCAGCTGAGGGGAGCAAGGTGACGCCCGGCCCGCCTGTTTCATCTCGCAGGCTGCAAACAGGGGGTCCTTTTCAGGGTCTATTTAGTGCCCTGTTTTCGGTATTTTTGTACTTTTTGCTGGTGATCCCGATGTTTAAAATGGCCACGAGTACAGTGGGGAAGTTCGGCCCAGTGTCCCAAGCACAAGAAGGCTGGGACGTGCCTTACAGAGAATATACATACATACTTAGAATATACATCCCTAAGGTGTCTTTAAACCGAAACGCACCCAAAACCAGGTGACCTATTAATCAGCTGACACAGACCAGGGCTCAGGGGCACCTGATCCTGTTTGTCCCCAGGAATGATTGACTATTCATTTATTCAGTGTCCACGACTTTATAGAACGTAATTACAACAAATAACAAGAATCAGCTGTACTTATGGATATTGTCTAACAAAAATGTGTACTTCCTTTACTTTTTTTTTATTTCAACTTTTTCCATAACTTTCACACATCTTGACACAATGAAGACAACCACAGTCATCTTCTCCAGCCACCTGACACGTACGTAGAACCTCTCGGATTGGGGGAGTGCAAAGAATGACAATGGATTTCTGTTCTCAGGGAAAAAACCCACCCGATCTTTCCTCCCACCGCCAGTCACAACCGCAGGGCACTGGGGTACATGCCAGTTGAGGGAGACGCTCTGCCACCAGGAGCCACACGGACTCCAGGAAGACAGCTTCAGGGGACGAGATGCTGGACTCATTTTTGGACAGGCACGATCTGAGGTCACTGGGCAGAGAGGTCTGGAAGAGAGTTGGGTTACAGGGTCTGGATCCGGGAGAAGCCGCAGGTGATGCCCATTCAGGTGCCATCCACAGGTCATCTTTGACAGGAGAGGCTGTGGCAGCGGATGGGACCGACCAGACGGTGGCATCCTCCCAGCCCCCATGCCTCACCTGCGGCCTCTGACCAGTGCCCTTAGCCCCGCCTCAGCCCCACGGCAGCTGGCCCAGCATCACCACCCTGCAAGGAAATGCAGACTGGCTCTGCTCCCCACGCAGCTCTCCAAAGGCTCAATAAATATTTGGAAAAAAATGCATAATTTATTTGTACAATATTTCACAATTGAATTTTACAGTTTATAAAAGATACAAAACAGAAGACGAACAGTGGTCACATAAATAAAAAGAAGCACGAAAGAAGGAACACATTCTCGCTGTGATAATGCTTTTTAAAATCCGGCTTGGGGAGCAGCCACCTGGCAGTGCCATGCGGAACGGAATGCCCCTGGGGACACCACTGCCACTGAGGCAGGTGGAGTGGGAGCATCCTATGAAGAGGCTGGACCGCCTTCCATTTCAAGGTGAGGTCCCAGCAGGAGAATCATTCATTCCATTCTTGCAAACCGGTGTGCTGGAGAGGAGGGCCTCGGGGAAAGCAGGTCATGCAGCAGAAGCATTTACACTTCACTCTTGGCAGTTTGAGCGTGGCGCTTCCCTCCCGGGGAACCTAAGGGGCTGGAAGGGGCCACAGGGAGTCCAAAACAGGCCTTCTCTCTGTCGCAAGCACGGGCACTGTTCTTCAGCAGCGTCATTACAGTACCTTCACTTAGGAGCCAGTCACTTTGTAAAGGCAGCTCTAGTCGGCCACCGCTCACACTTGGCAAGGACAGCAAGAGTGTCAAAGAGGCAAATGCAGGAACGCCTTGGGCATCGCAGCCGAGATCCCAGGAGCACTGAGGTAGTAACTTGTAGAAACATTACAGGAAACGACGCGTCGTCAATCCCGCATCCCTGATTTCCCCAGGCGATCTCAATTCCCACGTGGTTCAGAGGCCCCCAGAGGGTCAGCATGGACCCCACCTAGGTGGCCCCTGGGAGGACCACAGGGGTGTGCACAATCTCAAAGGAGGCAGGAAGAGGGACAGGGAGGAGGGTGGAGATTAAGGTTGGTCTCCCTGGGCGAGCCCCCTCAACACGCAGTGGCCACCTGTCCCGGCCGTGTGCAGGGGTGAGCGTGTCTGCAGCGGCTCCCATGCTCCCAGGGCTCCATGGACACTCTCACCCCGCAAGAAGAAAAGGAGGTTTGAGATGTCCTGACAACTGACTATCAAGTCATGGCCCGTAAAGGGCTGGTCCCTTTATTTCCAGCCACCATCCGGGGCTGCTAAGAAGGCAGTAAAAGGGATCAGTGAAAACCCTGGAGGGGAGGCAGGCCCTGGGGCTGCCGGGGGACCCCTGCAGGTCCCACCTGGCTTCTCCCATTCCATCTCAAGCCGTCCAGCAGCCGAGAAGTCACCATCCTATGAGCATCTAAAGGTGGCCCCCGGAATGGGCTCACAAGGAAGATCCCCTGGGGCAGACTCCATCCCTCTGCTCAGCATCGGCCCTGGAGGCCACACCAGCCAGGCCATCACTCCGTCTGGACAAGGAGTCAGGGAGCGTGGGCCCGGGGAGGAGCCCCTGTGGCCTGCACAGAACTGTGGAGAGTGCCAAGGACAGAGAAGTTCATTATTTAATAAAAATGAGAGGATCTTTGAATCATTGCTAAAAATACATTATGCACAGGGAATTAAAAACCAGCCCCTTCATTTTCTTGTGGAATGGCGTCGAGGACAAAGGCCACACGGGTTAGCTGTTCGCCTGTTCAAAAAGGAAAAAAAAATGACATTATTTTCTCAAGACAAAGGCAGACAATTATTTTTCTCTCCTAGATTGGCATGAGGCCCTTACACCCAAATCAGCAAGCCCAGCAGGACAGAGGAATGTGTTTTCCTACGGCATGAAGGGCCTGGAGTGGGGCTGACAATGGAGGGGAAGGGGCTCAGGGCAACAGAATAGCGTGGGCGAAGGCCTAGAGAGAACAGGGAGAACGGGGCGTGTGGGATCCAGCCATTTAGCACAGCTTTGTGCGGGAAAATCAAGCTTGTGTTAGCCACTGAAACACATTGTGTTTAATTGGTCCTTGCTTTCTACTCCACCATCTCTCCTGCACCCGGTCCTTTCGCTCCACGCTCCGGCCATGCTGGGCCACTGGCTCATCACACTGTGCCCGTCTGCTGTCTCATGTCCTGGAGAGACAGTCCACCCCTTGGCCTATCTCGCCTCCCTCGAGGTGTCTGGAGCATCTTCCCCTCCCGGGCACGCCCAACCCCACAGGCTTTCCTCCACCATGCAGGCCCCCACAGCGCAGCTGGGGTCGTCTATTTCCAGCGCCCGGCCCTTGGCCAGGTGCAGACTGGCCTGCCCCTGTGGTCACTTGAAGGTAATAGTTGCCGTGGTTCCATCTGGGGGTGACGCGGGCCAGCCTCGTTGGGCGATGCCCTGTGGTTCTGACCCTCCCTCTACAGACTGGGCGCCTCTGCAGACTTGAAAGAAGACAGAAGAGAACTTTGTCTTTCATCAGGAGCCCAGTCCCAGAAGGGGCAGAAATCTGTCAAAGCTGCCAGCCCTGATGCCCCTGAGGGGCAGAGAGCTGGTCCTCACCACGGTCCGGGCAGCGCCCAAGGAAAGGGCTCTGCTAAGCAGTACCAGTCAGGTTGGGAGTCCGGGAGGGCAGGGCCGCAGGGCACCCTTGGACCGTTCCCATCGTCCCAGGCTTTCCTTGGACCAGAGAAGCACGGCTGCTCCTCCGCCCCAGGGCACACTCAATGGCCCAGAAAAGGAGGGGGCACCGTCACCACTCAACTGGCTGACCTGCGTCGCTCTGCTCTCAGCCCACACTCATCGATGAGGTCTAGGTGGGTGAACAGAGCCAGCTGAGCCAGAATTAAGTGTGGTCAGCAGGGCACAAGGAAGCCCACACACAGTTAGCCCTGGACCCCAGATCTTTTCATCCAAGCACCACGGGGCAGCGGGCAAGTGATGCTGGTCAGCAGTGATGGGTGGGCCTTGGAGGGACGGGGAAGAGGATGCTGACGCAAACCCACAGCCACGGGAGGCAGAGTTTGCATCCCGCCGAGGGGTGGTCAGCAGTCAGCTCAGGACCACACCCCGCAGACATCTGGGCTTTGACGCCGCAAGTTGAAGAACTCAGTCAGAAGGAGGACGGGAGAGTTACCCTCATCTCTTGGTAGATCCAGTCTGTGAACACTGTCACGTTCCCGTACACTCCCGGTCTGTTCATCTTGGCACATCCGGATCCCCAGCTCGTGTCCCCAATCAGCCACCAGATGCTACTCTTCAGAGTGACCAGAGGACCTCCACTGTCACCCTGGGGAACACAGCAAGTTACAGAGCAGAAGTTCAAGCAACCAGTGCACCCTATGGACCCTGACCAGAGGGTGGGGGTCGGGGTGGGGGCTTGGGGGGAGGTTAGGAGCCGGTGTGTGGGTTTCAAGTCTCCTCCAACGAGGTAATAGAAACATGATCCCCAAAAGAGACTACGCTGGTGACACATTTTAGTCTATATCAGCTGAGAGTTACCAAATAAGTTTTTGTCCGTATTTTAAAATGTCAAAATACTTATTTCTGTTCCACCGACACTTTGATAAAATAGAAGCCTTCCAGAGGAAGCAGCGATGTGCAGGCAGCGCTGGTTAGCACCAGATGCCTTCACACCGTCAGTAGCCATCACTTCCCACAGCTGTCCCAGAGCTGGCCCGGCGTCCCAGGGACATGGAACCCTGTCCCTCATTGGGGGAGGGGGAGGGTTCTCCTCATGGACTCACAGAAACTAGTCAAGGCCCAAGGGTTGAATAAAAACTTGCCATTACCTGGCAGGAATCGACTTTCCCCTCCAGATACCCGGCGCAGATCATGGCGGGCGTGATGAGATCGTTGTAGATGAACTTGTTGTTGCATTGCTCGGGCTCGATCAGGGGGACCATGGCGGCGTTCAGCAGCTCTGAGGTTTTCCCTAAGACAGAGGACACCGGCCAGCTGTCAGTGCCGCGGCAGCTCTCACGGGAAGAGGGGACTCCCTCCCGGAGATGTGCCACCGAGAGGCACTAGACAGGGGGCCACGTGCCCCACGCCCTCCTCCCAGGCAGCTCTAGAGCTCAGTGTCAAGGAAAAGACTCCCTGCCTCTGGAGCCATGGAACCCCGTCTGCTCCAGAATCATCCGCTCTCATCACCCGACCATCGGTTCCGTAGGATCGACTTTCCTCATTTTCGCTCCCTCTTCACTGGACGGTTCCCCAAGCATCCAAGGGGCTCCGGTGTCTCCTGCCTTATACAGACCGACCTTTCTCGATCCCACACCATCCTCCACATACTGTCTCACTTCTCAGCTCCCCTGCGCATTAAAATGCCTCTAACAAATTACCCACACCTGCTGTCTCTACTGCCTCCCTCCCATCCTGCATCCTCCACCTGGACACCTTCTAGGCACCACAGGCTTAACCTCCTATCACAGAGCCTGTCATCGGGCCCTCCTCCATGCCGGTCCTCCCCACCCCGTATTCCCTGGCTCAGATCACAAAGCCAGAAGCCCTCCTTCCTTCATTTCTCACTCTCCCCCCAGCTGGCATTCACTCCATCGGCAGATCTGGCTGCTCCATCCAAAATGCGCCTGCTCTCTCCACCTGCACGCCCGCCACCTTGTCTTGAAGGACCACGGCAATGTGCCCTCGCTGTCGTGTTCGGAATACTCTCGCCCCCGCCCTCTCCGTGTCCCCCACGCAGCCATCAGATCATGTCACTCTCCTGTTTAAAAACTTCTGACAGCTCCTTTTCTCACACGAAACAGAAGCCAGTATCCTCACTACAGACTACGAGGCCGCTGGCTCACCATCCTCCAGTCACACTGGCCCTTTATTCCTTAAACAGACTGGTCATTCAGATCTCAGCTCAAACGTCACCTCCTCCAAGAAGCCTTCCCTGACAACACTGGCTCTCATAACGCCCCGCTGTTTGAAAGCACCTAGTTCAGTCATTCGTTTCTTGTTTGCCTGACCCCTCCATGCCCTCAGCCATCGGCAGGGCAAGGAGAATTCCTGAGGGCAGAACTCTGTCCTATTCTGTTCGTGGCTGCAATCTCAGCTCGGGGCAGATGCTCCACAAATATTCGCTGATTTTCCCTTTTGCCTTGGCTGCCGGGAAGCCCTGCTCACAACCATAAGCTTCAACCACAGTAACCTACTTTTGACCAGATGCCAGGATCCCCAGCACCCCCAGCGCTCTCTGCCCAGATCATGCGGTCCTTGGACTTTTCACCTTGTTTTACAGGATCTGTGTGTGTGCCCCAAGCACTTTTTGGGAGAAGGATGTAAACGGTATATAAAATGCATCTTTGTACCACTCAGCACTTCCACATTTCATACAAGTGGAATAGCCAGCATCCCTTCCTTCGAAAAATATTCTCTAGGATGAAAGCAAATCAGAAGTGAAGGAAGCTGTGGGGGCCTGCGGCCGGGGAATCTAATTCCTCGCCCATAGCTGTGGCGTCAGGGCCAACGGGTAAGAGCTCAGACAGCCTGCAGATGGCCATCTGGGGGCACACAAGACGATCTTCCTGAGTCCATCACCCCTCAGCCACCAAGGGGCAGGTGGACTTCTAGGGTGGCCCATTAGCAACGACAGGATGCAGAGCAATATCATACCTCTCACATCTATAAGGCCTGTGTGGTTCAAAAAGCAGTTGCCACATGTTGTTCTATTTCATTTTTTTTTTTTTTTTTTTTGAGGAAGATTAGCCCTGAGCTAGGGTCTACTGCCAATCCTTCTCTTTTTACTGAGGAAGACTGGCCCTGAGCTAACATCCGTGCCCATCTTCCTCTACTTTATATGTGGAACGCCTTCCACAGCATGGCTTGCCAAGCGGCGCCATGTCCGCACCTAGGATCCGAACTGGCTAACCCCGGGCCACCAAAGCGTAATGTGTGCACTTAACCACTGCGCCACCGGGCCGGCCCTGTTCTATTTGATCTTAATACGAACCTTGTGTGTTACGTACGGTAGGTACAATTTTCCCCATTTAACAGATGGGGAAACAGAGGCACAAAGACTGGGCAACTTGCCCACAGTCATCCAATAATTCAGTGGTAGAACCAGGACTGAAACCCGACCTCCCACTTCTGAATCTAATGCTCTGTCCCGTGGGACCTGCAGACCGCAGTGCCCAGGAGCCCCACCTTTCTCGTAGGTGGCGCCCCACCCGGAGATCCAGCAGGACTGTTTCGGCTCCAGCCTCATGCCCGGGTTCGGCAGACACACTGGTTTCACTCTGTCTGTTTCAAGAAGAGAACACACCGTGAGCTGTTCTGGTCTAACGGAAGGCCTCTGAAGACAGTCTCCCCTGCACCTTCCCCACGTGGCATCGCCGGGCCTGAGACCACCACCACCCCGCCCAAGGAAAGTTCCGGATGCCAACGTGCCCTGGCACTCCCACTGTCCCTGCCCGGCCCCTCCTCCTAACAGCAAGACATCCCCCTCTGGAAATTATGCTACTTATCGCTGGAATTATTGGCTAACTCTGCTTCTGAAAATACATAATTAACTTTTTTTTAACTCAAATCTTCAAAAAATAGAAATTAAAAATACACAAGGTCTCCAGGTGGCAGAGGGCGGAAAAGACACACATGTGGGCGCTTCCGGCTCCCCACTCGGAGGCCCGTGTTGGAGACGACCTCCAAGAATTGTTTCTCCCATGTCTATATTGTTTCCCTGACTTCACTGCAAACACCTTGAGGGGGGAGGTGAGATTTTGCTTCTTCTGTCCCCTTGTGGGGCTGGAACATTCCGGACCCGCTGATGGACCAGATCGAGGCTCAAATAAGAGGCTATGGGAAGTCACGTTTATTTTAAATTGTTATTACTTTAAAGTATCTCATTTTCAGAATTTACGTGAAAAAATAAAGTATCTTTACAAATCATAGATCAGTAGTTCTCAAGTGGAGGTGATTTTGCCCCCAGGGGACGTCTAGCAATGTCTGGAGACATCTTGCTTGTCGCAGTTGGGAGGTGCTCCTGGTATCTAGCGGGTGGAAGCCAAGGACGCTGTTCAATATGCTACAATACGTAGGACAAAACCCCCACAACAAAGAATGACTTGACCCCAAATGTCAGTAGCGCTGTGGGTGAGAAACCTTTTCTCGACTTTCCCATGTTTTCACCAAATCGTCCCTCTCTACAGTGGAGGAAAAGCACAGCGGTCACTGCTTCCCTCAACACGCCACAGGCACATTTTTGGGTGAGGTCCTCTGCCGAGCCCTGTTCTATCAGCCACCCCTCCTGCCCGCACCCTAACCCAACTCAAATTCCTTCCTTCCGTTCGTCACGGCACAAGTTTTAATCCCTCCTCCTTAAGATTTGGTGGAAGTCATTCACACACCCGGAGCCGCATGAAGAAAGATAAGTACCGTTAAAAGTCAGAGGGGCCTCAAGCTTCATCAGAGCAATGTCATTGTTCTTGGTCTTGGAATCGTAATTCGGATGAGCAATCACTTTTCCCACTCGGTGTCCATTTTCGTAGAACATTAAAGATTGGCTCAAAATGCCTGCGAAGGCTGTCCAGTACCGGGGGCTGTTAAGCGGCCTGGAAGACAAAGGTGAGCCCCACTCAGCGTCTCTGAGCCACAAACACAAAACACTCATTCCGATCATCTTCAAAGGAACTAAGACGGAGCCGCAGGTCCCAGAGGTGACACGACTCACCAGGAGCCACATGGCAAGACTGGCGAGGACGTGGCTCAGGCTCTTCTCTCTCCCTCTCTCACCGTGGCCTCATCCCCCCCCCAGCCCTCTGCCCAGCTCATGCTTTGAATCCCGCCCCTCCTATGCTTCTGCGCCAGCCCACAAGCCCTCACAGTTCCAGGAACACGTTTTCTTGGGCCTCAATGCCTCCCTGAGGTTTCAAACTCTTTTCTGGCAGGACTGGGTCTGTCTTACTTACCACTATATGCTGGAGCATTCCTGGCACACAGTAGGTGCTTAATAAATGTGCAGTGATGAACAGACCAGGTCTAACAGCCATCAAGGCATTGCCTTATCTGGGTGTTTCCCTTTAAGAGGATCCCCAATCCTCAAGCTGTCAGAGGGGGTGGATGGAGGGAAGGGAGCCCCCTTGGGGAACAAACACCGCTTCCTTCTGCCTTCACAGGCCCCCTCGGGAGGGGCAGGCACACCTGGCCGACAGGTGCAAACACCACCATCAGACACCTTGAGTGCACTGTCGGAAGCCACACAGCCGGGGAAGGGCGGGGCCAGGAGCCGAGCCAGGACCGGCCGCACTCTAACCCAGAAAAAATAGCTCTGATCAGTGAGGTTTCCTCCAAAGCAGGTATGTGACCCAAACACTCTACGTTTAAGAAAAAAAGAGGGGAGACGGTATCTTCCACAAAAGCCAAGGCGGTAAATAATGGCTTCCCCCATCCCTCCCTCCTCGTCTGTGTGGGCAACCCTGTGGCCAAGGACACTTAGCTAGGGCCACAGAGAACCTTCTGCTAGGACAGGGTGAGGTCCCTGAGCGTGTATGTATGTGCTATCTCCAAAGACAAGCATCCAGGAGGGACCAGAACTCCCAAGATGGCAGGGGCTCCAAGAGGGGTGGGACTGAGCTGAGAAGACAGCGGGCCAGAAGGAATTCTGCTCACAGCAACCCCCCAGTCCACACTGCATCCCTGTGCCCAGAACCCTGCATGCAGTGGATGCCGAATGCATGCCAAATGGAGAAGGGTCTTGGCCTCACTTCACCAGTGTTAGCTCACCTGAAGCGGGTACCATTAGAATCCCTACTTACACCCAAGGCAACCGGAGCTTGAAGAGCTCAAAGACTTGGCTCCACGTCACCTTGGCCACACAGCCCCCTCCAAGCCCAGGAGCCCTCGCCCCCCAGCACCCTCGCCCACCCTGTGGACTTACGGCTCCACGCAGTGGGCGGCGGTCACGATCCACTCGGGGGTGATGATGGAGCCTCCGCAGACGTGGACATCCTGGACGTGCAGACTGACCTGCCAGGGCCACTCCCCCAGGGCCGCGTTCGCCCCGCCCACAATCCGGCTCTGTTGTTTCGAGGAGACCCCGCACTCTGAAGGCGACAGGCGCGACCGTGAGCAGAAGCAGAGCGGCCCTGCCCCGGGCCTGCCCGCAGCATCCACCCAGGCTGGCTTTTGCCCAGAGGTCCCACCAGGCTGGTGGGCAACTGTAGCTACCTGTTGTTCCTGTCTGTTTGGGGTCTGGTCTCTTTTCGGCTGAGGGGAGGAGAGGATGCTCCTCTGCCCCGCCCACCCCACCCCGCCTCAGGCCCCCAGGAAGCACCACTTCTGCTGGCACGGTGTGATTCCAGATCCCCAGGTTCGGGTCCTGGATAACAAGGCCCCGGGGTGTCCGTGAGTCCTGGAGGGACTGAATGCTCAGGGGCCCTAAGATTCCTGAACGAAGGAAAGGAGGGCTTTCCTCCTGTGTGCTGGTCTCACCCCCCACGAGGTGGGAGGTGTGGGTCAGAAGGCGGGGCGGGCATCCCGCTGTCTTGGTACCTAAAGAAGCTGGAATGGAGCCTGGTTGGGAAGCTACTGCGGGACCCCACCCGGGAGCGTCTGCTAGTTTCCCCTCTTCAAACTGAAAAGCTGAGCTTCAGGACCAAGATCTCTATGGGAACAAGACGGGGCCGTCCGTCCCAGAGAAGGAAGCACAGGGACGATGCTTTCCATATTGATAAAAGGTTTGCAAACTGAGCTACCCAAACACAGGGATGAGGACACCCACAGGGCCTCCAGCTCCACCTGAGGGGGGAGCCCAAGAGTGGAGCCCGGTCAGTTTCTTGAGCTTGCCTGTCCTCAATGGGACGGCTGCTTCTTGGACCCAAGGGTGAAGGTGTCTCAAGTACATCAAATTGAAGAAAGGAGCTCCTTGGGCAGAGCTGGGGTACCGAGATGGCACGAGGCCTTTGGGCACAACCCATCCCACCTCCTTTTCTCTCCACATCCCCCAGAGACACAGGGGGATGCGCTGCTGAAGGTACGGAATGCTTCCTATTTAGAAACACAAAAAGGAGAACTGAGAATCACTTACCCATACAGCGTAAAGAAACCACTTTTTTTGAAGAACAGACATCACTATAAAAAAAGAGGGAAAATTCCGGTCACAAGACATGAAGGAGACTCAACTCTCAAAATACTTAGAAATGAGTATTTCATTCTAGTGTTCTCACTCCCCTGCCTCCCCAGATGTTGAAGGGTCCATGACTGAAGACTCGAATAAGGAGAGTAAATCTATATGGGGACGGTGGTAAAGAGAAGACACTGAGTCAGAGTACAGGGTTCAAATCCCAGCTGGGTGAACTTCGGCAAGTTACTTAACCTCTCTGTGCTTCAGTTTCCCCATCTGTAGAATGGGCTAATAAAAGCACTACCTCATAGGGTGGTTGTGAGAGTAAGCACACAATAATGTCAGCTACTGTTTTTATTCTTGGCATTTAAAATCATCCTCTAATTTTGTAAGGAAGCCATTTGTACACTTTCGGTTTCCTGTGACTGCTTTCCATTTATTGCACAGAAAATGATACAATCATTCATTTGCTGCAGAGCAGAAGAAAAGAAAATTTACTCATTTGGGACATAAACATTCGAAATTACGGATGAAAAAGAAAATAACCAATGCGAGCTGTTGTAGAGCAGATTTTCCCCTAATATACTGAGGAGGAGGGAAGCAACCCCCGACATCCTGGCATTCACAGCTGGCCATGCGCTCTGTGGAGCACAAACAATGTCACAGAGCATCCACACTGGGCCAGACCCCTGTTACATGACACCAACAAGCCCACTGCAGGAGTCTGTCCGAACCACACGGTGCCCAACAGCCCCCTCTGCTGGCCAACATGAGGGACCACGGCTTCTTTGCTCGTCACCGCTGTAGCCTGGCTTCACCCAGCCCGCCTTCTAGAAAAAAAGCATTAAGACCCCAGTCACAGCTCACCCTCGCTTCCTGACAGCATCCAGTCCGGAGCAACGCCCTGCTTCCCTGAATCTTCCCCCAAATGATGCTACATGAGCCCAAGTCCTATAAGAAGTCCCTTCCGACACCCTCGTACTGAGATGCCCCATGGTTCCAAGGACATGGTGTGTCTTGGTGGTCTTTGGCTGAGGGGCATGGGCAATGCCAAGAGAAGACATGTCCCACTAAGAAAAGATGTTTTCTAAGAATTAGAAAGTCAGTTCTCTACATGGAGGCGCCAGTGTGCAGTCACCAGCTCCCGGGCACCCAGAGGTCACTCAGAGGAACCCAAGAGGAGCCGAGAGATTTAGGTATCAAAGGGCAACTTCTGGAAGCAAAAAGGAAAGAAGTCTCCCCGCCCCCTCTACCCCCACCATGTACACAGGACCCCACGTGCGAGGCAATGGCCTCCAAACCCTGCAGCCACCTTGTGAGTTCCTAAGGCCCTTGCCAGAGACGGCAGCCTCCCCTCCCCGTGTAACCCAGAAAGACAGAGAAATACTCAGCGTTGACCGAGAGCCTGGGCGGCTGTGTTTAGCTTCCCAGCGGGCCAACCGCAGCCCGGCTGTTTTGATGGGCACACCTGGCTGTGCACGCCCCTCCTCCTGGGCTCACCCCGTCACATTCCTGGGGACAGCCAGGCTCCGTGGCGGCTGGGCAGAAGTCAGCCCCCCAGAGACCTCAGCTGGCGGCCACCAGGAATGCAATCCTGCTTCCGGCCTCCCACTCACAGGAAAGGAGGGGCGGCATGGTGAGCTCATCCTCCCCTAAAAAGCAGCACCTGGCACCTGGCCCACGGCAGCGAGGTGATGGCCGGGCCGGCCACCTGCAGATGAGTGACAGGGACCTGGGAGCTGAGGAAGCCTTTTCGAGAAGGACACTGTGTGTCTTTCACATTAAAGAACATTCAGATGATAATGATGATCCGAGGGAGACTGCAAACATTTTAAACGCATGCAAAGCAAACGAGGAGTGTCAGCCCACCGCTCTCCCCAGCCTCCGAACCAGTTAAGCCATCAACCCTGGGACCTGTTGTTCTGGTTCATTTCCACACACTGGACACACAGTGACCCGCCCAGGGCTGCAACTTGGCTTCAAAGTACAAGAAATGTCAGCTGAACTGAACTAGGCGGTCGCTGCCAGGCCGCCGGAACGCCGCCCACCCCTCGCACGGCATCATCTGATACTACGTCCTGGGGCAGAGGGACCAAGCATCCTGGCTGCCTGGGACTGAGGGGGCTCCTGGGAAGCAGAATTTCCAGTGCTGAAACTAAGTCCCGGGCGACCAGGATGGTTGATCACCCCGGTTGGGACCACAAAGCTCTCTTGGATTCCTAGAGACACACTCTGACACACAGTAGGTACATCTCTATGTCTGAAGAGTAAAGAAAAACCCATAAAGTGGATCTCAATGTTGCAGCGTCATCCAGTGCCCTCGAGGGCACGGGCAGAGGGCACAACCGAAATGGCAGATAATCCTCAGCTGCTTTCCGAGAATGAACCCCGAGCTGCTCAGAGCAATGAGTCCTGCTCAGCATCCAGGCTCCTCCCACTTGGGATGGTGATTCCCCGCTCTGTCTCCTACTCATTCTCATCATAAAATTTTTCAAAGGAAAAAAGAAAATCAGTAAATACCTATGGTACAGTTTTTTATAGAGATCGATATTGTCGGCACTTGTGTTCAGCTTCATAAATCTTGTGGCCCCGCTGTCATCCTTTATTCCTTGGCTGGAATAAAAACTATTCCTAAAAAGACAGAAAATCTTATGTAAAACAATGGTTAAGCCATAAGCAATCACAAATCGTCTGCTATCTCATAACGCTTCTCATCAATGACGTTCAGGTTAAGAGGGACACCTTAGCATTTTGGAAAACAAAATCCCAAATTCTAATCAAGCGACGCTGTGTCATAATCATTTCTCAATCCGATAACCCGGAAGTGTCAGGTAAAAGTCCTCTGTCAGTGGGGTTTCTAATCTAGTTTGGGTTAGGATAAAGAAACGATGAGGATAGGGATGTGCCAGCATGTAGCATCTAACAAAATTTACAGATGTTAAGATGCCCCAGTTGTAAAATACAGCTAAGATGCCAACTGTCTTATCAAGTGGTAATTCATTTTGAAAACTGGCCTATAGGGAGAGCATTCTAGAAGTGCACAGAAGTCACATGGGGGCACTCCAAGGAAGAGAAGGTGGCGGTAAAGTCACACGGCCTTTCCCCATGAGGCCAGAGGGCTGCCAAGCTCTCCCCAGAGGTGCTCTGGTGAGCCCCGGGGTGGGACTCACTGAAGGGACGGTCCTACCTGCCTCTCGCACTGATGCTGTGGCCGCAGGCAGGAAGGAATTCCCTTACATAGAAATCTGACGATAAAGCGTCTCCTTCAAAAGCCGTCAGCGCCTCCCGCACGCGGGCAGAGGAGGCTGTGCAGGATCTGATCCCTCTGACCTTCCCCCGGTCCTCCCCACTCCCCCCCAGCCCCAGCCCCACCCAGGGAGGGCAGTGGCGTGAAGGCTTCAACCCTGCCTGGAGGCCCCGCAGGAGAAGAGCCACTCAAGGCCCTCAGCCAGCACCCTGGATGCTGGTGATCAAGGCACTGGACAGTCCCGAGTAACCAGGAGTGGATGGAGGCCCAGGAGGAGGCAGGGCTGGGCGGCGGCTGGCCACACACACTAGACACCCGGGAGCGAGCCGGTGGGGGAAATATGGTGGGCACGAGCTGCACCTGCTGGTTTCCCCATCGGCTTAGGGAAGGAGAGCTGTCCGAGGTGTTCGCGTGCAGCCCCGCCCCCGGGGTCGCGGGGCTCCAAACTCACCCATAGCCCATGTCACGGCACACGGCTCTCCCATAGCTCTCGCTCCAGTCGTCTTCACACACGGGGTGCCAGGACTTCCTCTGGGACGAGTACACCTGGAGGATGAAGTTCAGTCCATACAGGCGAACTGCAGGAGGGAGAGGTTCCGTGAGTCTCCGGGGTCGTTCCACCTGCTCTGGACCCCCCCTGCCCCGGGACACCAGGGCTCGGGAGGTGGCGGCCCCAGGTTCCCTCTTCCCCACGAGCACCGACCCCACACGAGGGATGCTGCGAATCTATTCTTTCTCCTATAAAAAGTGCTCTTTACCCCAAAGAATTGAAAACAGGTGTTCAGACAAACACCTGTACACAGACGTTCCTTAGCAGCGTTACTCACAATAGCCGAAAGGTGGGAACAACCCAGAAGCCCAGCAACAGACAAATGAACAAGGTATGGTCTATCCACACAACGGGATGTTATTCTGCCGTAAGAGGGGATGAAGTCCTGACACACTATGACACACATGAGCCTCGAAGACGCTTCACTGAGTGAAAGACGCCAGACACGAGGCCCACATCCTGCATAGTCCCATTTCCATGAAACGTCTGGAGTGGGAATCCCACAGAGACAGAAAATAGAACAGTGGCTACTTAGGGCCTGGGGTGAGGGGGTGCGGAAGGAGGGGTGAGGGGGCCATGGCTCAGGATTTCCTTATGATGCGATGCAAATATTCTGAAAGTGACTGTGGTGATGGCTGCACGTATCTGTGAATATACAAAAACCACTGAAGTGTACACTTTAAAAAGATGAATTTTACCATATGCGAATTATATCTCAATACAAGTATTTTAGAAAAAATAGATGAATAAGATCAACGATTTTTGGAAAAATGCTCCTGAAACAATCACTTTGTGGGGCCAGCCTAGTGGCGTAGTGGTTGAGTTCGTGCACTCTGCTTCGGCAGCCCGGGGTTCGCGGGTTCAGATCCCAGGCGTGGACCTAGCACGGCTCATCAAGCCAAGCTGTGGCAGCGTCCCACATAAAATAGAGGAAGATGGGCACAGATGTTAGCTCAGCGACAGTCTTCCTCAAGCAAAAAGAGGAAGATTGGCAACAGATGTTAGCTCAGGGCCGCTCTTCCTCACCCACACACAAAACAACAAAAAATCAATTACTTTGTGACCCTCTCTTGCCCAAAGCCTGGGTCCTGGCAGAGTGCCCAGAGACAGGGCAGGTCCCCTGGTGTAGACTCTGCCACTGAAAGTATCAACATTTTGCCCAAACAACCCCAGCCGTTGCGTTTAAAGAGATAGAACTTCATGAATATAGTTTAAGCCCCCTTCCTAGCCTGTCTGTTTCTCTCTCTCCCTCGAGGTAACCACAGTCCAGAATTCTGAGAACTTCACCCTATGGGAGAACGCATCGAGCGGTGTACTCACAGAGCGGAATCCTATCCAACTGGAGGATTAACCAGAGGGTCATGTGTTAACATGAACCATCTTGAAAACAGCGTTGCATAAAAGAGGGCAAATTGCTAAGTGTTGTGTTCCATGTGACATCACTTCCGTAAAGTCTAAAAGTATGCAAAACCGTGCTCTGTGGTTTTGGGGGGAATACACGTGGCTTAAATTTTAAAATGAGGACCTGGTTATCTCAGACCTCAGTGTCACCTCCCATCTGTGGCCCCTGAGTCACTGGACGGTTTGCCAAACATCTCGGGGCTCGTTCCTCCATGAAATGACCAGCCTTGGTCTGGTTACTTCCTGATGCTTCTGCGATGAGTGACTATACGTGAGCTGGCCATGTGTTCGGTGCGGGGATAAACAAACTGTGGTCCATCCAAATAATGGGCTATTAGCGCTAGAAAGAAGTGAGCTATGAAGCCAGGCAGAGGCACGCAGGAACCTTAAATGCATGTGATGAAGTGAAAGAAGTCAGTCTGAAAAGGCTACATACTGTATGATTCCATCTCTATGACATTCTGGAAAAAGCAAGATTCTGGAGACAGTAAAAGTCCAGGGCTTGCCAGGGCTGGGGCTGGAGGGCTGAATAGGCAGAGGACAGAGGACTTTTAGGGCAATGAAATTCCTCTCCACGATCTTAGAATGATGGCTACATTATACATTTGTCCAAACCTACCGTCCACATGCAAACATCTTATACATTTTTCCACAACACCAAGCGTGAACCCTAATGTCACTTAAGGACTTTAGTTAATAATAATGTATCAATATCAGCTCATCAATTGTAATGAATGTGCCACACCTAATTTAAGATGATAAAAATAGGGACCACTGTGTGCAGGGGGATGGGAACTCTGTACTGTCTGCTCGATTTTCTGTGCGTCTAAAAAATAAAGCTTATTACATTTTTTAAAGTAACTGTAATCAAATATATTTCCAAAGATAAAACTGACACTGTGACATGGTAGAGAGGGAGGGAAACATTTCCTTCTTGATTTGTGGATAATTTTAGGGATTTCTTTTCCTTCCAACTACGTGCAGTCAAGTGCTAATGAGGAAAAGGTGAGGGTGGATGCCCCAGAGAGCTGGAAACGGTCTCACGCAGTTCTTTTTGTGTGTGTGTTAGGAATTTTTTTCAGCTTTATTGAGGTATAAGTGACAAGTAAAAATTGTATATATTTAAGGTGTACAACTTGGTGCTTTGATGTATGTTTACATTGTGAAATGATCACCACAATCAAGCTGATTAACATATCCAGCACCTCACATAGTTACCATTTTCTTTTCTTTCCTTTTTTTTGTGTGTGGTGAGAACACTCAAGCTCTGCCCTCTTAGCAAATTTCAAGTGTACAAGACAGTACGTTAACTGCGTCTCCTCAAGCGGCCACAGAAAGCATAACAATGGATGTAGGAAGTGAACTAAGGTTAAGAATATACATGTACCCTTGGGAAGAAAGCTCTACACACATTCTTGAACGCTTTCCATAGGACAGGCAATGATCACTAGCGTCAGAAGCTATGCATTTCAATCGAAAATAATTTCCACTCGACAAGGTGGACAAATTAAAAGCACATCCCACGTGTGCTCTGATCCGATACAGAATACACACACAATGTCATGTTCATCTACTTTGTTTCATGTGAACCACCAGTGTTGAAATTAGATGATACCAAATTGCGGACGGACTAGCAAACCACAAAGTCACAAAGCCTCTGACCCAGCGGTTTTCCTTCTGGAACGTTTCCTACTGATTTGCTCACGTGCTTGGAGCATGTGTGTTACAGCCAACGGTGGGCAGAGCCTGAATGTGCCCCAAGAAGGGGCTGGTTCAACAACGGCACGTCCACACAGAGGGGCACCGAGTGTGAAGCAGAGGGAAAGGGGGAGAAGATGGTGTCCCCACGGGAGATGACTTCCAGGATATGTCATCGAGCCTGTGGAGTCACCTGGATGATGACCATTGGGTAATGGAGGATTAAGAACGCAAACACATATTTGTTTTTTATGCAAAAACTCTCTGGAAGGAGAAGCAAGAAATTCATATTATTTGCCCCTAAAAAAAAAACGTGATTGGCTGGTGAAGAGGCGTGTGTGTATATGAGTGTGTGCGGTGTGTGTGTGTGTATGAGTGTGCATGAATGTGTATGTTGTATGACAGTGTGTGGGAGGGATGTGTATATGAGAGTCTGTGTGGTGTGTATGAGTGTGTATGTGTGTGAGTGTATATATGAGTGTGTGCATGTGCATGCGTGTGAGTTAGAAAAACAACCCAGTTCTTTCCTCCTCTCCGTCTTTGTTTCTTGTGTGTCTCCATTACTCTCACACAGAACACTTCACTTCTGACACTTCTGGTCACCAAATGTGTGGGGGTTTTCCTCACACCAAGCAATTCTCCACGACACCAGCTCGGTGTCCTACAATTTAATTCTGACGCTCTTTACCTGGAGCTAGCGTCAGATCCCACAGGTTAAGGGCTCCCATCCCACGTCAGACGCCAGTCACACGTCCAGGTTGTCACCTGTGCTTCTGACGGACCAGCTATAGATCAGAGTTCCCACAACTTCCTCCCCAGGTCCACTGAATTCGCATGAGCGATTTGCAGAGCTCGGTAAAACCGTTTACTGTTCACCAGTTTTTAATGAAAGGAGGTGATAGAGGATACAGGTGAGCACCCAGAGGGAAGAGGTGTGTGGGGCGAGGCATGTGGGCAGGGGGCGGAGCTTCCACGTCCTCTCCGGCTGCTCTCCCAGCACCTCCACCTGTTCACCAGCCCAGAAGCTCTCTGAACCCTATCCTACTGGGATTTATGGAGGCCCCATCATGTGGGCAGGATGGATCATTAACTCCATTTTCAGCCCTTCTTTTTCAACATCATGGGGGGCGGGGCCAAAAATTCCAAGCTTCTAATCGTGGCTTGTTCTTTCTGGTGACAAGCCCCCAACCAGGAGCCACCCAGGAGCCCACCCAGAGTCGCCTCATTAGAACAAAAGACGGTCCTGTCACCCAGGAAATTCCATGGGTTTCAGGAGCTCTGCGCCAGGAACGGGGGTGGAGACCAAGATGTATTTTCTATCTCAGAGTACGTGAGTGTGTGTGGTGTGTGAGTGTGTACATGAGAATGTGTGTGTGTGTCAGTGGAGTGGAGGAGGTGAGATTTTTCACTGCATACCCTTCAGTACTTCCTGAATGTTCTTCTATTTGAGTATATTAACTCTTAAGGTATTTGAATAAACACAACTTAAATGTTAAGAAGAAAGAGAGAGAGAGAGACTCTCCAGGTACCATAACGAGTTTGTCTTGCTGGAGTTTATTCTTTGCATTAAAAGCCATTCCATCTGATATCTTAAGCACACCTGCTCAGCTTCAAAAACTGCCTACTTTATTTAAGAAAATAGTGACAAATATATCATGACCAAAATAAAGGCAAGGCATGATGTGGAAAGTTTAAAGAGTGAGTGAGTCACTTCCAAGTGCAAACACTCCAGGGACACACGAGAGGCTGGGCCCTGGGAGCCCATGGGACAGACAGCAAGCATCGACCACAGAGGCGCAGGTGGAGACCGGGGCCCCGGCTTCCTCCCCCAGGATCCCACGAGCCGGGACCCACAACAGACACAGGTGTCACGACCTGGAAATGAGGACAAGCCGGCAAAGAAACCTCCCCAAGATGACCCGCAGAGAAGGGTCACCAGGAAGCAGCACACTGACTTTCTCCAGCATCAACTGTATCCAAAGTTATCAGTTCACAGAGGATACGACAGGGGTGTGGGGGTGAGAGATGCCAGCACTGCTCTCATAGTCAAGCATCATTTTTGTTGTTACTGCCCCTTTACTACCCTTGAAATCACCTTCAAAATGTAATAGAACATAAAAAAAGCAAGTCCGGTGCCCACTCTGTGACCATAGATACATTTAACTTTAAAGGCGGTTTGTTTTGAAAGTAACATAACGCCTTCCAACTCCACATGTTAAACAGTTTGCTCATGTGAATTGCCGTGCGGTGATGTCTTGTGGCAGTTGGGAGCACACACGTCCAACTGACCCCTGACCCTGTTGTCTCCTTCCCACCTGCTGTGTGACGCCGGGTCAGGAGCGCATCCCCTCTGAGCCTCATTATCTGAAAATTGGGGTTAGACCCGAGGCTCACCCTCTAGGTAGGGATTCAATGACGTAATGGATCGACCTGCCAGACAAAGGCCTGGCACTGTCAGGCCCCACATACGGGTAGAGCGGGCACCTTCCAAGGCCGGGTGCACAGCCCCGCATGCGCAGTCCTGCCACTCACCACACCGGTTCTCGTCCTCCCCGTTGGGGCAGTGCAGGATCCCGTCGCACCACTGGGAGGCGCTGGTGCAGATTCCTGAGTTGCCACACTCTATCCGGGACCCCATGCACTTGTTCTCCACTTGCAGAGACAGGAGGGAGACACCAGTCAGGCTGAGAGACCAAGAAAACCTCCCGGTGCCCAGCAGGAGGTCATGGTCCACCCTCCGAGTGCCATGGAACAAGAAGAAAGAACCCTTTTCCCCCTTCATTTTAACAAGGAGGGGATGCGTCCTTGCCACCAACATATATCAAAGGAAACAGGGCTGGCAGTCAGCAACAGAGAACCCCCGGGGGACATTACTTCGGGGGGCCAGTGGGAAGGACTCCCAGCGTGGCGTGGGGCAGCACTCCTATTTCCTCCTCACCACACAAGCGACTTCTGTGATCCATAAACATCGTGAGCCAGCACTGCCTCCGGCTGATGGAAAAGCCTGGGCTGTGATCACAGGAGGTGGCACGGGACGGCACGCACACCCTGGCCCGCAGCAGCCACTGCGGTAACCCAGATACAGGGGACCAGGTGTGGCCCCAAGTTGGGGAACTCATGCTCACGAGTGCCAGGTGGCACCTAGTGCCCCAAAGCACTTGGTAAACTGCAAATGCTTCTCCCGCCGTGTGTGGGTACTACCCAAATGGCACGGATTCTGACAACCCACAGATTGAGGAAGCACGCAGGCGAGATTTAACCCACTGCTTCCAAGAATGGTTATCCACGCTTCACCACGACCCAACGGAAGGCAGGAGAAGCCAGCTCGTTCAGAAAGAGAGACTTCAGGAAGGACGGTGGGTGGTCCCCCAGCCCAGGGAGCAGGACCACGGCATGCTCAGCACGCTGCGACTTCGCCCTTGTGCTTCGGGCGGCTGCTCTGAACTTACCGAACTTCCAGAGCAGGATGGCGGCCACCACGAGCACCACGAGCAGGAGCCCCAGGCTGAGGAGGATGCACAGCACTTTCTTAGTCTCTGCGGGAGAAGAGGTGAGCATACGGCTTAGCTGCAGAGTCTTTTAGAAGTTACGCTCTCCAATTTTATCCACTGCTTTTAAAGTATGGCACATGGGGAAATAATTCCTTAAACACTTAAAAATGGGACTTTTAAGAACGTATCCTGGGAGGTCTGTCTTCTTCTGTAACAGTAAACTTTATGCTTTTTGGAGAACAAAATCAAGGACAAAATGATAGGAAGCAACAAACACTAAAGTGAACTCTTAAAAAAAATAGTCAAATAAATGATTAACGTAACAAATTGGCTAAAAAAGGAAAAGTACCCTGTTTCAGTAATTACAAGTGTGAGCAAAACTTAAGGTCCTCAAAAAGATCACCTCCATGTCGGTGGTACTCAAGATAGAAGAATCAATGGTCTTACTCAAGGCGGTTTAGCGACGGATGCTGTACGCCCACACTGTCTTGTGTGACAGCCACTGGCCACAGGTGGCTATTTGCACTTCAATTAATTATCATTAAATGCAATTAGACAAAGTTATGTAAATTCAAGTGCTCAACAGTCGCACGGGGCCAGTGGCTACTGTACTGGACAGCGCAGATGTACAACACTGTCATCACTGCGGAAAGCTCTATTGGGCAACATTGACATTGGCCCTTTGGTCTGAGGACAGGAACACTGGGCTCACATTTCAGCTGAGAATAAAGGCATTCGGAAAAGGTCACCAGTGTTCTCCAGTCAAAACAAACCAATAGGCTGTCGGTCAGAGTGTGAGCCAAAAGTTGTATCAAGTTTCAGAGGACAGCACCAGATGCCACCATTGCAGCAGTCCTATGCAGAGCACAGCCCGAGGCCCAGGCGCTCCTGGGAGCTTTCCTCGGAAGAAAGGTGGAGAGGGGAGGAGAAGGCATTTAAACAGACCCTCCAAGCCCCTCAGCCTAGACAGAAGGCCGCCCAGGCTGGAGAGGTATAGTGTGTAGGGAGGGACACCTGTACACACAGGTGCACTTGGGCTTCTGGAAGTCAAGCAGGGCAAGAAGTTCAGCTTCTGGAGTCAGACAGACCAGAGCTGCCCCAGCTCATCGGGGCTCAAAGCCACACCTTCATTTGGTTATCCCATTCTACAAGCTCCACAGTCTGTTCTCAAACTGTAACAGGCTTGGGAATCACCCGGGGCGCCTGATGACCCGTTTCCCGGCCCCAGCACCTGAGATGCTGATTCTGTTGGGCAAGAGGGAGGGATCTGCCATTCTCACAGGCTCACAGGTGAGGCCAAGGCCACTTGTCTGAGCAGAGCCACATGCCGCCCGAACCACCTTATCAGAACTTGGCCTCAGATGATTATGTCTTCCCATGGGCAAGGTGGAGTCGCAGAGGCAGCTCCCACAGGGGAAATTTCGAACAACCTATTGGACCCGTTAGCTAAGGACAGATTCTTCCTTTGAGCGACTTCCCTGTATGTCATTAAACCTAAGATAAAATAATTTGCCTGGTGAGCTAAGGGATATTAAATTCGGTATCTTAACCCCTCGCTCAGTGTGGCAGTCTGCCCAGCTCTCACTGTCCACTAGCACGTGGGCAGTGGGAAGCCCCGACTTGACCTTCGGTGGACAGGCATTTGTCAGCAGCCTCGGGTCAGTCCAGACTTTGGTCCTGGTTTTCAATCGCTGCTGTCGTTGAGTTTAATTATAACTTGCTATTCATTTACCTTCCTCATTATCAACGTAGTCTGTTGTTGATTCGGCCCTGCAGTTTCGAGTGTCAACTATTTGCATCACAGGTTGTTGACCTTCAGTTCTTAAACCCAAACTTTAAGATGCATATGTATTACATGAGCAGAGGCAGCTGATGGAGAGAAGGAAGGATGGACGAGCCACTTTTGAAGGGTGAGGGAGGCAGAGGCAAGCATTGGGGCAGAATTACGAGAGTCATAGCTCTCGGTCAGAGCGGGCAAGGTCTGGGGAGGGGCAGACATAGTACCGGTATCATTCATCTCGATTATTTATGATGTGGTGGTGGGCACAGGGAAATTCACTTCAATATTAATCTTTAACTGCACAAGTTGTATTTACATGTACGCATATCTCACAAAATCAAATAAAAACATTATCAATGAAAATGTTCATTGGTACAGCCACTGTCCTGGTTCCAGCACTGGTTGTACAAGTCCACTGGTGTCCCGATTGTACCCAGGCAGCTCTTAACACTTAAACTAGCCAGCATGAAAAGCCGAGAGGGGGTCTGGAGAGGAAGGAGACCAAATGCAAAGAAGAGATGAATGAGAGGGTAAGAAAGATGCGGGATCGAAGGACACACAAGCTCCACAAGATTGTTAGAGCCAAGAGAAATGCTGCAGACGCTTCTGGGCGATAAGCACACCGGCCACTTCATCCACGAGCCACAAAACACTCAATGAGCGTCTGCAACATGGCTTGCTGTATCTGGGCAACCGTATGGCAAAGAAAGCTTCGATCGTTTACCCTGCATCGGGAGCTTACCGTTTATTCAAGATGCTACATCAATACACCACACAGGCAAGAAATAGTACAGAGAGGCCTGGCTTGAAAGACCACCGTGGGCGGTTCAGGCAAAGCTGGTAACTGGAGAGTTAACAGAAGAGGGAAGGTCTTTGCAGCCCGGAGGTCCTGGCGAGGCCCTGGACAGGAGGTGAGACCCGGCGCCCAATAGCCTTGACCCGGATGCAGGAGAAGAGAAAGACAAGCTAAGACAGACCAGCCCCAGCAGATGAGGATAACCAGTGACAGAGTTGGTGTGAACAGAGAGCCCACTAGAGAAGGCAGACCCCAAACTCGAGTTCCATTATAGGAAATAATGCAAAAAGGGTCCTACTCAAGGTGCACACTGTCTCCGATAAGAGTTTGGGCTGCGTGTGGTTGACGGGTGTCGAAGCCTGCGTCAGAACCCTCGGGGAGTACCGGGGTACCGTGGGTGGGTAGTACTCGGCCTCATACGCTCCGTAGGCACCAGGGGCCACAGGGGGCTGCCGGGAATAGAAGCTTTCTGGTTGGTATCCATGGTTTTCGTAGTAAGGTCCAACACCTGGTGGTGATCCCTAGACAATTCAAAAGAAGATGAATAATGTAAAATCCTAATTACCCTAAAGGTTCAACATCCATCCCATCACACTCAGACAAGACAGTGAAATGGTGCTCCTGCTTCTTCAGGGCGCCTATAATCATGCCAAACACTGAACTTAACCTGGAATAAAAGCCAGCCAGAATTTTCAATTAGTTGTCAATAGATTTTGTTTTTGTTTGTTTGTTTACTATTCACTGCTTAAAATAAAGAAAAAGGAAATGAGTGACTTGGAGATCTAATTAAAAAATTAAAGGAAAAATGTGTACAAGTCTGGGAATGAGTCATTACTGTCTACCTTGAGAATGGGGGTGCAAAGTTATGAACCAGCGATATCACAATTATAACGAGAATAGCAACAGTTAACATTTGAGAACTCACGTGCTGCCGGGCGTCTGCATTCAGGCCCTCTTTGAAACCTGATGGAACCCCCTAAGACGGTAGAGGGATGACTTATAAGCCCGTCTTGCAGAGAGGAACGTGAGGCATAGGGGCTAAGAAATTTAGCTACAGGATCATCCATACACGTTATTCTGAAAATTCCATTTCTATCTCCTCTTCCCTTAGGGAGCTGTATCATCATTTACTCACCGTCTCTTATTAACAGACAACTAAATGGTCTACCCTCGGGGGCTGCTAGCATTCTGTGGCAATGAGTATCCTTATACGGCACGTGCATTTTTGTGAAAAGTGTGTAGATTTCTGTATTTACATCCCCGTGAGAGGAAGTTCTAGATCCATTGGTGGGTACTGCTCCAGCCATAGCATTTTATTCCCAGCTCCAAACTTCGGCTGGTTTCTGTCTTCTTAGAATGCCCTTCTCCTCATCATCTTTCTACTTAAAAATTGCTGTTTCAAGGCCTACTTCTGCAAGACCCACCCCCACCAGGCCACTGTAGGCCCCACCAGCCTGTGACCTTCTCCTCAATTGCCACTGGCTGGGCCACTCTGGGGAGCCGCATTTGTCCTCTTGCCAGCGTCTGAGGTCCCCATGCAAAACTTCTTCCCACTCTTTAGTTTCTGCCACCTGTTTCTTGTTGATTGCAACCTCAGAGGGGAGCAGCGTTCTGAGCAGAGGCAACTTAATGCTGAGAATTGTAAATGGGGCCTCCAGGGAAGGTGATTAGCAGGCAGTGAGCAAACGCGGGCTCCCAGAGTTAACCTCTGCTTAATAAATCACCAGTGTCCTCCTCCAAAAGTCCAAAGATTCTAACTCTAAGCCAGAGCAATAGCCGGAAAAGGAAAACCGAACGTAATCTTTAATCTAAACGGGGTACCAGAGGCAAAAAAAGGAGCACACATGGCTGACCTCTATCTGAGACACCTCAGAACATGCCACCCCACCTAGGAAAGGCTGCAGCAAGTTGCTTGTCCCGGTGAACTCCTGCGCAGCAGATTTGAAATTGAAAACGGATCCAGTGAAAATAAGCACCAGTAACAAATAAAGGGTGGAGAAAGCATAAGGTGTATTTTTCAGATAGAGAACATTTTTGTTATTAACCACAACTCTTTACTGAAGGCACTTATTCCCAGGAATAAACTGAATCTGTGGGGCCGGCCACGTGGCCGAGTGGTTAAGTTTGCCTGCTCCCCTTTGGTGGCCCAGGGTTTCGCCAGTTCAGATCCTGGGTGCAGACATGGCACGGCTCATCAGGCCATGCTGAGGTGGCATCCCATATGCCACAACTAGAAGGAGCCACGACTAAAATATACAACTATGTACTGGGGGGGGGGGGGATTTGGGGAGAAAAATAAAAAAGAATGCTGAATCCGTGAGATACGATGGGAACAAAGATACTGCACCTTTCCCCAAAGTGCAGTGGGGGTGTTTCCAGGCAGAGGGATGGTCAGCCCAGTGCCTCATTCAATCACGACCCACCCCAGTTCATTAGGAAGCTAGGCTGCACAATGGTCTGCTGGCCGATGGTAACCCGCACACTCTTTCTTCCCAAGGATTTACTCCCCTTAACAACATCCTGCCTCTATCTGTCCCCACGCCTCGCCCTCATCCCCTGCCCACCCCCGCTGTCAGAGCAGGAGGAGACCAGGCCGAGGTGAGAATGCACCTCTCCCCACCTGCAACCAACGGCTCTGAGACTCAGCTGTGCAAACGCTGGGTGGCCGCACTCTGCCCCCTTCTTCCCACCTGTAACCTGGAGATGCCTTGACCAACATCCACAGGGCGCACACATTCCCTGCAGGCAGCTCTGAAAATGCTGACCTGCGCGCACCTCGGGCAATAGAAGGAACAAGGGAAGAAAAGGCCAGGACAGTGATAATTAACCACTTACTGAGTTTAAGGCCATGCCGACTGGATCAGCAGCATCAGGTAATGGCAGGTATTTGGAAGGTTGGAGATGACCTAGAAGAAAGAATGGCCAGGCTGTAAAATTTCTATACCAGTTAGTTATTAGAAGATAAATCGAGAAAGAACTAGAAGGCATTCTAGGCGAGAGGTGCCTCTCTCCAGAACAAAGCACTGCTTGGCCTGTTGACCTTGGCCTTCACCTTCTCCACGTTTCCCCACAGCTGTTCACAGGAGATGATGAGAGCCCTGCTACAGGGTGACACTGAGGAAGCAATCAGTGCCTGGCATCGGTAAGCGCTACATCTATCTCTGTTAAATACAAGTGATCCTAAATCCAATGAAAGTTGAACAGCCCGCCGGGGAGCGAGGGGGCTGACGCGTGGCATCTACAGATTTGCAGATTTGCATCTGGGCAGTGCTCCCGAGCTACCACCCGCTCTGAAAAACCAGCGGAGCAGCAGTGGAGCCAGCTCCGGCACCCCCCTGCCTTTCTATCTCCTAAGCATAACGATGATTTGACCCATTGAACTTAAAAAAAAAGCTCAAAACATTAAATTGCTATAAATCAAAATGTTGAGTCCAGCTTTTTAATCTTGGGAAACCTCATTGAGCAGGTCACAATAAAACCGCACAGGATCATTTATTTACTCTTTGTGTAAAGATAAAATGTAAGAACCACTCCTATTGATAGCTTTGAGATCTCTCAAGTTACAAAGAAAAAGTCAACACCTTTCCGGGTATGAGGAAAGAAAACTGACCAGTATACAGGTGGGAGGGGTCACCCTATAGAATATGTTTAACATTTCAACCTTTAAGTGATATGATTATCACACATTAATATAGCTTTTCTACGTCCGCTCTTTAAAGAGGGAGGGTCCTGAGATCAACATCCTCCACCACCCTCCAGTCTAAGCGGGGGAAAACTCAGCACCTTCCTCGGATTACTTTCAAAAGCGTCCTTCCCCAGCAGACATTCTCGCCTCTCTGGTTTCTCTGCTCTCAATGGCAGCGACTCCCTGGGCCTCTGAGCTATCTCACCAGTTATAAGTTTGGTTGAAGTTTCAGGAAATGAAAATTCGATCCTACTGGCGGCTTTCCCAGCTTAAGAGCCCTCTGAAGGGAGTGACGGATCGGAGCTCGAAATCCATGCTTCCTGTTCATTCAAGATCCCTAACAGTGAGAGACAAGGAAGCTGGGAAAAGAAGGGCTGCAGGTGGCCACGGCCATGAATTGGCCATAAAAGCCACAGGACCCAGATGTAATCACAGCATAATCCGTTCTCATCCAGCGATCCCACGACCCACAAAACCTGAGAACCAGAAACGCCAACTGCGTGAAGATGGGCTATGGAATAAAAGACAAGAGTGGACCGCCTATAATCCTCCCTGGCTGCAAAGAAAGGAAGGAGGAGAGGTTCCACTCTAGAAATGGATCTGAAAGGAGACGCACTGCTCTCCAGGAGGATGAAGATGCCACGCTCGGTCCGGTCCACCTTCGGGACAGGCATTTCCAAGCCCACACAAGATAGTCCATCTTTTTGGTTTCTGAAAGGAGCAATACAGAACTTAGATGGCAAGAGACAACACTGTTTCTCGAATGTCCTTTCCTGTCATTTAAAGGCACGGATGATTGTTCTCCATTCTGGAAAGCCAGATATAATAAAGCACTTTTCCTTTAAGTGACAAAGGAGTAAACATTCAAGGAAGTTCCTAAACCCCCATTTGTTCTCGGCCAGCTCCTGGTCCAACCTCGTCCCCTTGAGTCACCCCACAGAACGAGGCTGTTTTGGTCCACTCTGGGCTTTCCTTTCAGAGAGCTGAGTCATGCCTCGAGTCACCTGCAGAACAGGATGACCCCGTGGTGTCCTATCTGCATCCCATGACATAATGAACTATTTCCAAACAGAAACAGTCTCTTCTTGGAGTGTCTTTCCGCTGGAGATCTCAGAACACAATTGCTGGAGATTTATTTTGAAAACCACCAAACCAGTGCAAATGAGGTCTGTCTCACAGACACTGACTCCCATCTCGGGGGTCAGGGGTGTTCCCTAGAATGAAGGCTCCACAGACTTCTCCATGCACCCCCATTCATGCATGTGCTCCTTCAGCGAGCCCCACTGGGTGCCTTCGAGATGCTAGAGGTGTGACAGGCCGACGAGGCCCCATCTTCCTTGACCAAAAGATTCTGCACCCCTTCTTCAAACTCCAAAGCAAGCAACACCAATAGACACTTCGTACCCAGTGAATAAATGATCAGTGAGAACCTCTGGTGCCTCACCCTCTGCATAAACTCCCATTATATGAAAAGCTGCTCTCGTCTCCTGCTGAGGATAGAACGCACCGTCAGAGGAAGGTTAACAGGCCGTGGTGGATGTAAGGAACCGTTCACCATCAACAAGCATAAGACAGTCAGACAAGTGGCATGCGCAGTAACTGACACATGAATGAAAGAGAGAGAGGGAGAGAGATCACCTCAGGAGAGGAATTGCCCACAGCATCCAAGTCTCTTTTTCTATGAATGCCTCATTGTCCCAACGAGATCACAAACTTTGTAGGGCAGGAATTGGGTCTGGTCTCTTTTTATTTTTTTAAATCTAGCTTTGTATCTCACAAAGAAAGTGTTCCAATATTTTTTGAATTCCAAAGGCCAAATGAGTAAGACGAAATTTAAGAGGGAGCGAGAGAGAGAGAGAGCTGGAAAGTCTGCACCTGGACAAATCCAGCCACCAAGTTGAGGATGTGGGTGACCTCACAGGTCCAGATGCACAAAACTGACAGCACATCTAACCTGGCAGGCGGGCCAGAGAGGCCCCTGGGTCCCTCCAGAAGGGAGGAGTCCTTGATACCAAGCAAAGGCCACTGGTGAAGGTTTAAAGACCTCGGCCAAGTCGATCTGTGAAATAAGGGTAATAAATGAATAGGGTAGTTGCAGGAATTAAGGGTGAGTTTCCTGCAGTGTGCCCAACACGTGAGCACTCAGTAATAACACAGTGATCGCAGCTAAGATTTACCCTCCAGAGCCTAAGGGACTGCTACGTGGAAAAGGGCCTCAGCTTCGTCTCTGCAAATCCAAAGGACGAAACCAGGATCAAAACGGACAGAAAGAGCAGAAAGGCAGCTTTAACTCAACCCAAGGAAACCAAGTTTCCAGCAAAGAAAAAGTTTAACACGGACCGGGTTGCCTTGGGAAGAACAGAATTACTCAAACCGAAAAATGTTTGATTCAATACGTGAAGATCGTTTTCTCAAGCACATTCCAGAACAAAACTGGGCTTTAGCCATTAGGCCAGACATGATGGTGTTTTATTTTCCGCGGTCAGAACCTCGAAGAATGAACTCTGAACCGGTCATCCCTAGAAAACACAGGCTCCGGCTCGCCCTGAGTTCAGATTTGGGGCTCAGATGAGGTCAGGTGCCAGGAAGCGTCCCTGGAAAGCAACGACCTTGGAGGGACTCTGACACTGGGTCTGTTGCCACAAGCAAACAAGCAACCACAAAGCCTGGCTTAGTTTCATCTTCCCAGGCAGCTCTCACTTGTCAATATTTTTCTCATCCCCTGCTCGACGACCACGGCCTCTCTTCTCGGTCCTGCCGCCCTCCAGCTCCCAGTTCTTCCGTCTGTTCCACCCTCGCACGGACTTCCAGACTTCAGGCGCCACAGCCGCAGACACATGGTGCCCGTCACACATGCCCTGGTTGCTTCTCACATTTCTGCGCCCTCACCCACTCCCCCACACCGCCCCCCCAGGGATGCCTCTGTACCCACAAACAAAAACCTGGAGTCTTCACCCAGAGCAAGGCCTTCCTCCTTCTCCCTGACTCACTTCTAACAAGAGTGAAAAGCACATCTTTGAGTCACTTCCTTCCCAGAGTCCACACTGTTTACAATCCAAGGGACTGTCCCCCGCCCCGAGAAGATGGGTGTCTTGCCTTTCTCCCTAGATACCTCTACAGCTGACTCGGATGCCTTCCACTTGTCTCAGTTCCTCTTCTTCTGACCACTGTCCAGAGGCCAGGACAAACCAAGTCCCGGGTCAGCTCTTCTTCCTTCCTGACCTCAAGTTCCACTTCCAGATTGTCCCCCAGAACCTGGGATGTGCTCAGCGGAGCCCTCTGCTACTCCCTGAGATTCCACGTGCGGTTGGGGCCAGGATAGTCAACGGCACGGGGGCAGTGACAGCCCCCTTCCCTACACCCAGGCCCATGCCCCTGGGGGCTTGCAAGCCAGGGCTCCCCCAGATGGCCTTCAGGGCTCCCCAACACCAAACCAGGAAGGGACTCACCAACTCAGATCTCAGCGCTCAGGTATGGCATGCCCGTGCACCCCATCCCCAGAGGCCACCTAGGGGGTCCCTGGCAGGCGCCCTGGAAAGCAAGGAGGGGCCAGGAAGAGAGACAAGGGCTCAGCAATTGTGGGCAGTGGGACCACCCAGGGGGATCCAGAGCAGTGGGAGCAGCAGAGGGTGGGAAGGTGCGTGGGGCCTTGATGCCCCTTCTCTTGGCTAGGACTCTTTCCCGTGCTTCCAGGCTCCTCCTCCACCCTCCTCAGCAGCAGGGTCAACTTCGGTGGCTAAATTGACTCAGACATCTTTCCTTTCTGCTTGCAAGCCCAAGGCTTAGATTTGATCCCTGGTTCCCAAATCCGGAGTTTTCTGGAGGGCTTACAAAAATAGACTTCCCCAGCCCCACCCCCAGAATCGGATGCAGCAACTGGAACCAGGGCAACGACCCCTTATCAAGACAAGGGTCCCTGGGGGCTCCTGCGACAGGTTTAGGAGGAAAAGAGTGAGAGCCACCAGCCTGGAGTCCTGGCTCACACTTCCTGGTAGACCCACACCATAGGCTGGGCCCAGAGTAGGGGCCAGCACACATATGATGACGACGATTATTACTGGCATAATGCACTTCATCGTCCACAGGCTACAGGACATTTCTCCAGTGTCTTGTCCCTCAATGCCCCCATCTCTCAGGGAGGTCAGTCCTCCACACCGCCCCACTGAGACCTCCCTGGCACTCTCGTCCAGGTCACATCGGGTGGGGGCAGCACAGAGCCCAGGTGGGGCTGCTGGCAGGGGCTCCACTGTCAGGTTAGGGAGGAACTAGCCTGGCCCAGGAGCAAGCCCCCTTCCCAGGAGGATCCCCGGCTGTTCTCAGCTTCCCTCTCTCCCTCTCCCCACTGGTAACAGTCTATGCCCCTGACATTCAAACCTCCCGGAGGAGCCACGGAGGAAGGAGAGGGGGCAAACACCACGTCCCAAAGCCCCACGGAGCCCAGCGGTCTGCTTTCATCCCCAGTTCTCCCCACAGGTTACAGGACCGTGGGCAAGCTGCCACGCTTCTCTGCCTCAGTTTCCTTACAATTGAGTTAAATACATTATTAAGAACTTGACACAACACCTGGCTGGAAGAAAGTGCCACATCCACATTTGCTGTTATGATAATACCACTGTGGACAAATTTGCTGCTACAGTTAAGGTGAGGGAGCCCAGGGCCGAGCCACCAAGGGTTGGAGGCGGCAGAGCTCTAAGGTGGCTCCAGCCACCACATAACCTTGACAGGCGGCGGCTGACCTTGGGGGTATTAATAAGACAGAAGTTGCTGGGAACCAAACAGATGTCCAAGCTAAGAACAGAGGCCCATGCTGCTCACCAGTTGATATTTTCTAAAAAACAGACTGAGGTGTTGAATGACCTTTCTGTAAGCAGAGGGCCCTGTCCATGGGGATGCCCCCAACTCTTGCGTCTAGGGTGTGCTTGCTCCAGCTGCCCTCATCTGTCCAGTAAGTTCTGCTGGTCGGCAGAGGCAGGGCGCACGTCTGGTAAAGCTGGGACACTGGTGGGCAGCACCCCCATGCCTTTCTGGGGGCTCGCCATCACCTAGCGCACCAGCCTCCCTTCACTTCACTCACAGTTGCAGCGCGCAGGAGCTTGGGCACCACCAGGTTCCTCCGCCTCGGGGGAAACTCTGCGCCACACTGCCAGCCCCCACGTTTTGTCCAGGGGAGGTTGGCTCCATCCTCACTATCTGGAGGACCTTCTCCGACCTCCCAGGCTAAGTCAACAATCCTCCCCTCACTTTAGGTTTTCTAAACACCTTGGAACTCCACTTCGCAGCCTTTGTAATTTTCCATTATTTGGTTGGCTCTCGAAGGCTGTGAGCGCGCCAGGACGGCGAGGATCAGCGCGTGCCCGTGTGCCCCTTATCTTAGCCCAGGTCTACCGCACGAGTTTGAATGAGGGGTGCTCAACCTCGAGGCCCAGCCCTGGGTGACCCCGGCCCACCAGGCAAACCTTGGGTCTCCGAGGTATCCTTTCCCCCCCAAACGAGCCACTAGGATTCCTCTTGACCAGGCCCGCCGCCTGTGCGTTCCAAACGGGATTCGGATCACCGCGCAGCGCTCTCGGGCGGGGTGGGCCCTCAGCCGCACGGGCTCGGGGCTCTGGGCGCGCAAACGCCCGGGCACGAGCCAGAGCCAGCGGCCACCCGCAACCAGGCCCTCCGGAGCATAGACGCCTGAACTTTCGGGCGGTAAGGCACGTCTTCCTCAGGGCCTGTGGGCCCGCGGGCAGGGCGCCCACTGCCAGGCTGGTGCGCCCAGCCACCGTCCCGAGTCCAGCCAGACGGCATGCGGTGGACGGAAGTGCCCGGGAGCCCAACCTTGCTGCCGACAGGGAGCGCGTGCCCAGGACAAGGACCGCTCCTCCTGGCCGGTTCCTGCAGGTGCCCGGTGCCCAGGCGGCCCGGCGCTGATCGCCACTGCCTGCCGGGGCTAGGGCTGCGGGCAGTCCCTCCCCGGGGCCGCCGAGCCATTCGCGCCTCTCCCGGGGGCCCTCCAGGAGCCTGTCCCCGCCGTCCCCGCCGCTCCAGCCCTATCTCTCCCGGCATCTCAGCGAGTTTCCAGTTTCTCCCCACTTAGGGAGGGAACCAAGAAGCAGAAGGAGTTCAGGTAACACTCTGAGGCTGCAGAGATTTTCCCGAAACAAAGAAGGGATCGACAACCCTCCTTCTTCCTCATTCCCAAAGGGAAAAGGTGCACCCTTGGTCCCCAGCTCTGGGCCATAGAGGACAGGTGGACCAGGAGCCGGCTCCGGCCGAGAAGACCCACCCCGAGGGTCGCCAAGGCACCCTCTTCTCCGACCAATTGGCCAGGGACTCGCAGGGCAAACTTCCCCATCCAGGGGGCCAGCGGGGCGGCCAGTGCCTCGGAACGGCGCACCAACGGGCCCCTGGCGCGCGACACCCTCCCAGCCCCCACGGAGGCCACTTTGCCTGGCTCAGCCCCGCGCGTCCGGAGGACCCACCTGCCGCGCTTGCGCTGCTCACACCTGGCTTCTCCTCCCAGGGGCGCTTAGGTCGTTCCCGGCGCCCAGGTCCTCCCTCTCGCGCCCGGGACCCTCACCCCGGACCCCGCACAGAGAAGCGGCCGCGCGCCGCTTACCTGCAGCACTCCGGGGCCTGGCGCTCCCCGCTCCTCGCCCTTCCTCTTCCTTCTCTTTCTCCTCTTCGGCCTCTTACCGAGCTCGCGCCTTCCTCTTCCCCCCCGCAGGAGTTCCCGACCCTCCCCTGCTCTCGCTTTAATCCCGGGAGGCGGTGTCCGAGTGCTCAGGGCGACACCCCCAAGCGTTAGTCCCGGGTCACCTCGAGGAGGGGGAGGGGCTGGGCGAGGCGGAGGCAGGGGCCGCGGGAGGAGGAGTTTCCCCAGGGAAAGCCCGGCACGCGCACCTGACCCCCGCCCACGGTGGGACCCGGAGGGAACTCGGGGCATTCCCCGGGCCTCGTCCCCTGGTGGGCAGTTTAGGGCTGGGAAGGAGGGCGTCTCCCTCCCCACATCTCCTGCTCCGCGCCCGTCGAGGTTACTTCGCGGTCAGAGGACTGAGTTTGGATTAAGGAGGGGGATTTTGGGAAGCGCTGATGGAGTCCGCGTGTGAGCCCCATGAGGTGCTGCGTTCCGAGCCCCTGTCGGCGCCCAACCCGGCTCTGGCCCCCCGGGACCTCCATAACTTCTATGCCCAAGGCGAGGACCCAGGAGTCGGCTCCCGGGACCGATGGCCCAGGCACTAGAGCCAGAGGACGCCCCGCCGCGCGCTGAGGACCCTCCCCAGTCCTCCTGTGCGCCCTTTCTCTGCCCTCAGGTCCAGTCCCCCCTGCCTCGGAACGTCCCCAGGAGCGGCGTGAGAACTTCTTACCCACTAAAGGCAAGGGACAGGGGTGAGGAAAAGGGGTGAGAGAAACTTTAGTCCAGAAGCCTGGCTTTCCCCCTGTCCTTAAGAAGCTCTTTCCAATGCCGTCTGCACTACACAAATTGCTAACGTGGATGGCTTTACACCCAGGTGGAGGCAGAAGAAAGCCTAATTCGTTCTGAGTCCCGTGCTGCTTTGGCTCAGCGCTCCTTCCTGGGCGGGTCTTCCTGGGAGCTGGACCATCCTAGGAAGTTCTTCCGTCCTCTCTTCTGGCTCCCACCCTTAGATCCACGACAGGGGAACCCCCGGGAATATGTGTTGGTCCTACCCATCTCTCAAATGTGAGTGCTGTCCAGGTTGTCTCTAGTAGAAGACCCTTGAGGACCATCTCCAGCAAATGGGTCGGGTCGGGATGTCTTCTGCTAGCGACTCACTTATTTCTGTTTTGAAGAATGTCTTGGGAGCCCTCTAGGAATGACATCGCCGTTCCACCAAACCCCTAATGTTCACCTCCCCACCAGGTAGGATGTGTGGCTTGACATTCAGCCCTCTTGTAGATGGCTATTCTCAACATTCATTTCCCCTTCTCTTGGCAACTTTCTGGAATTTTTGTTGCTGTATACACACCTCCCAGGAGCGGACCACCAGCTTGGGGAGCCAGCGCCATCCAAGTGCTAGAGGGGGGCATGTGGTCAGTCTCTGGCTCGGCGGCTTAATTTCACTCTCTGCCCGAATTCTGGCTTCAGGGATGAACACCCAACCCACTTCTGCCCAGTGAGTGGAAGAGAGGTTCCTACCTCCATGGTGGGCGATATTTTCTTACCCTTCTAAGGGAGTTTCCAGAGACCCTCTTCCTTGTGCTTGGAGGAGGAAGAAGCAAGCCGTCCCAGGAATTGCAGATAGCCGTTTTCCATCACCAGGGAGCTAATGCCAGGATAAAGATAGCCCCTCCATCCAAAACCACCGCATAGAGATGACGAGAAGCCCAATTTCTGACGGCATCATTGAGCCCCTGAATCAAGCCATCTTTGAAGTTAAGCCTCCGTTACCACTGTTTTCACAAATACAAGTGGAAAATCAGAATTGTGTACCGAGGGGAGAGGCTGTGATCCAAAGAAAACAAAACAATATTATTATATATTAAAAATATGCGGTAAAGTTCTGTTCATAGCAGTATGACTGGCTAAGTATCCTGAAATAATGTTCACACTGCAAAACAGCCAAAAAGGCTTGTAAAGTATATATCGTCGATATCTTTCCAAATTACAGCTGAATTTGCAAGAAAACTTGGGCAATTCTCAGACACAAAAGTGAAGTGGGTGCATCTATCCAGGGAAGTAAGGAAGGAGTCAAACTGACAGGCACCCTGAAATCGTCCAGCTGCTTCTAGTAGTGCGGAGTTTTGTGGGCGGGAGGGGGATGGAGAAGCAAGCCGAGGGCTTCAGAAGGTGGCGATTGGCTAGGCTACCGCCACGTTGAGTCAGCATCCAAAAAGCTCTATTTTCAGGAAAAGAATGAATTTTTTTTTTTTTTTAGTTTATATCCACCCCACTGAAGGGTGATGACCAGTCAGCTTGTCTATATCTTAGTCTTGGCTCTCAATGGAGGAGGAAAACTCTCCTGAGAATTGATAGCTACAAGCAAGCCCTCATGTGAGAATTTAGGTTTTGAACCCAAATTCCCACTGCCTTTGTGATGAGAAAAATGTCAAGCCAAGAATGTAATCTAAAAGTGGTCCCAGATGGGTAACGCCCCAAGCCTAAGGCAGAAGCAAGCTCAAATCCTCTCTAGGGGAATGTGGCTTATGACGGTTAATTGTACGTGCCAACTCGACTGGGCCCCGATAGCTGGTAAAACATTAATTCTGGGTGTGTTTGTGAAGGTGGCTCAGGAAGACTTAGTGTTTAAGTCAATAGTCTGGTAAGAAAGACCTGCCCTCATCAGAGTGGATGGGCATCATCCAATCCTTTGAGGGCCTGAGTAGAACAAAAAGACAGAGGAAGGTGAATTGCTCTCTGCCTGACCTGGGACATCCATCTTCTCCTGCCCCCCAACACCCATGCTCCTGGTTCCCAGACCTTTGAACTCACACTAAGTTACACCGCTGGCTTTCCTGGGTCTCCAGCTTGCAGATGGCATATTGTGGGGCTTCTTGGCCTCCACAATCATGTGAGCCAATTCCTATAATAAACAAATACACACACACATTTATATATATATGTATATCCTGCTGGTTCTGTTTCCTCTGGAGAATCCTGACTAGTACACCCTTCAGTTCAGGAAAAACTCCCACACGGTGACAATTAAAATGAGCTTTAGGGGGCCGGCCTGGTGGCGCAGCGATTAAGTCCACACATTCCACTTCTTGGCAGCCCAGGGTTCACCAGTTCCAACCCCAGGTACAGACATGGCATCGCTTGGCGAGCCATGCTGTGGTAGGCATCCCACATATAAAGTAGAGGAAGATGGTCACGATGTGAGCTCAGGGCCACTCTTCCTCAGCAAAAAGAGGAGAATTGGCAGTAGTTAGCTCATGGCTAATCTTCCTCAAGAAAAAAAAGTAAGCTTTAACTTAATTAAAAACAGTTAAAATAAGAAATTATTTAAAAAGTAAACAGGAACAACAAACTATAGAATCAGACCATAGATACTGGCATTATTAGATGCAGATGACAGAATAAGTATGTTTGCTATGTTAAAAAAATAAAAGCGAGAATCTAAAAATGAATAAGAAGGGAAGATTGTTTAAAATTACCTAGCAGAATTAGGGGGAAATACTAAAAAGAACTTCTAGAAACAAACAAACAAACAATGTAAATTTTCAATAGCTGAAAAGGGAATCAGTGATGTGGAATATAGATCTGAAGAAATTATGCACAATGCACATAGAGGAACAAAGTCATTTTTTTAAACATGAAAAAGAAGCTAAGTGATATGGACAGTAGAGTAAAAAGATTTAAAAATATGTCTAATTAGACCTCCAAAATGTGATAATAGAGAGAACAAGGTGGAAGTAAGGTATGAAGCAATAATGATTGCAAATTTTCCAAAAGTGATAAAAGTCGCAAATCCTTAGATTATTAAAACACAACAAATTCCAAGCAGAAATAAGAGGAATCCATAGTTAAACATAATATAGCAAAATTGTAGAACTCCTAAAATAAAGATCTAAAAAACATCCTGAAACAAAAAACTTAGCCCCCAAATAAAAGCAGAATATGGTGAAATAAAATATTCACGGTTGAGAAAAAGTGACTTTCAACCTAGAATTTTATATCCTGTAAAAATATCCTTCACAGCAGAGGGAAAAACGTTTCCAGGCAAATCAAGACAGTGTTGACCACAACAAAGAAACTCGAAAAGGCTGTCGTTTCAAGAAGAAGAAAAATAACCCCAGAAAGAAAGTCTGACATGTGAGAGGAAGTGGTGAGTCAAGGAAATGATAAAAATATGGGTAAATATAAACAAGTATTGACAGCATAAAATAACGCTACCAATAATGTTTAACTTGTAAAGGTAAAGAACCCACAACGTCAACAAAAAGTAGAACTAAAATATTGGAAAATAATAGCACATAGACCTACTATTATCCAAGTGGGCAGAACAGAATTAAAGGACTATAATGATCGTGCTCTTCTGGAGGAGAATAAACACATTGAGCAACTGTAGACTTTGTTGAGTATGCTTGTTAAAAGGGTAATTAAAGGAAGAATGAGGGGCTGGCCCCGTGGCTGTGTGGCTGAGTTGGAGTGCTCCACTTTGGTGGCCCAGGGTTTCGCTGGTTCGGATCCTGGGCGCAGACATGGAATCACTCGTCAGGCCACATTGAGGCAGCGTCCCACATGCCACAATTAGAAGGACCCACAACTAAGATATACAACTAGGTATTGGGGGGATTTGGGGAGAAAAAGCAAAAAAAGAAGATTGGCAACAATTGTTAGCTCAGGTGCCAATCTATAAAAAAAAAAAAAAAGAATTAAAATAGAGTGTAAATTGATAGTGTCCAAACCAAAGAAGAAAAAATCAGATAAAGGAGAAAAACTCCATGAAACCAAACAAAATAAGGAAAAAAAGGATGAAGGGAGGAACAGGAGTAAAACTGAACACAGAAAAAAATAAGACAAATAAAAATCTCAAAATATCAATGTAGAAATATATACAAATACATCAGTAATCATAATACATGTAAATGCTCCAAACTGTCTGGTTAATATGAATGGATTCTTTTTAAAAGCATAGATCATCCAATTGTCTAGTTTTTTAAGGCAGCCATATGCTATATGTGTGATAGACATATGTAAAAGTAAGCTGGTTTGGTTATATTAATATGGACAAAATAAACTTCAGAATAAAAGGCTTTACTGAGAATAAGGAGAGTCATTTATAATGACGTAATAAACAAATCACTTGGAAAATATAACAGCTGTGAATTTGAATATTCCTAACAGCATAGTCTCCAAAATGTATAAAGGAAACATTTATAGAATTACGAGTAGATGTCTACAAATCTACCATCATCTCTCTTAGTCATGAGAGGTCAAGCAAGCAAACAAACAAACAAAATCAGTAAAAATATAGAAGATTTGAAAAACACAATGAGCAAACATTGTTAATGGGCATATATAAACGCCTCCACCAAATGATTGGCCAGATGGCTTTCCAGGTTAATTCTTAGAAACGGTTAAGCAACACATTATTCCGGTCTTTCAAAAATTCTCCAACTCACCCATGCCTAAACCAGCAAAGATAGTTCAAGGAAAAATTACAAGCCAATCTAATTCGTGAATATAAATGTGAAATCCTAAGCAAATATTAGGAAATGAATCCAACAATATTTTTAAAATATTATGACCAATTTGGGTTTATCACAAGACTAATATTGTTTTAACATTAGAAAAGCTATCAGTATAGTTCAACACAGTAACATATTAAAACAAAAAAATCATGAAACCATCTTAATATATTTAAAAAGATCAATAAAATTCAACACAAGTCCACGATAAAAGTCCTTTGCAAAGATGAAGTAAAAGGAAACTTTCTTACCAGATAAAAGATATCTAAAAATCTTGAAAAATATCATCCTTAATGGTGACATGGACAGGATTACTGGTAGCATCACTTCTACTCAACACTGTACTGAATGTTTCAGCCAGGGTTGCAGATGAGAAAAAGAAATTAAACTAAGGAGAATTACAAAGCAAGAGATAAGTCAGTCATTATTTGAAGATGATATGACTGTGTACCTTCAAAACCTCAAAGAATCAAGAGAAAAGCATTAGAATTATTAAGAAAGTTTAGCTATCTACATTTGATAGATACAGAGGCAGTATACAAAAATAATTTGCATGCTCCTACCACCAACTGACCAGTGGAAATGCAATTTTGGGGGGTTTTCTTCAGTTTTATTGGGAAATGCAATTTTTAAATGTATCGTTTACTGTGTTGTTGGTGGTGTAGTTCTGTAGGAGAATGTCATTCGTAGAAAAGGCCTGTGGAAATAGCCAGGGGTGAAGTGTCATGACGTCTGCAACTTAATTTCAAATGGCTCATCAAGATAAAACCGTATATGGGAAAACGTTCATACCTGTCGGGTCTGGGAGAAGGTTGTACATCCATTCATTGTACTAATCTTTGATATTTTCTGCATCTTTGAAATACATTAGCTGGTTAAGCCCCCAGTCTGTTGTGCTTTGTTACAGCATCGCGAGACAGCGTCCTTCTCTGGTCTGTGGTCTTCAAACTTCAGCATCAGCTGTGAAGACGAGAGCCTCACAAAGACTGGTCAGGTAGCTCCCTCAGCTGCACGGGGTCAAATCTCCTAACCAACCCCTTTAAAAATACACAGACGCACATCATTACAGTACGCAGAACACAGAACAAGTGAGTGCGTGCTCCAACATGGATGCACCTCGAGGACATTATGCAGAGTGAAATAAGCCAGTCACAAAAGGACAAATCCTCTATGATTCCACTCATGTGAGATGCTTAGACCCGTCAAATTCACAGAGACAGGAGGAGATGGGGGGGCGCCCGGGGGCTGGGGGAGGAGGAATGGAGACAGCGTTCAATGGAGACAGAGTTTCACTCGGGGAGGATGGAGAGTTCTGGAAATGGATGGTGGGGATGGTTGCACAACAATGCAATCGTGGTTAATGCCACTGAACTGTGCACTTAAAAAATGGTTAAAAGCGTAAATTCTATATAATATATATTTTACCACCCAAAAACCTGGAACCAAAAATGAGACATATACCAGATTGGAAAAATTAGTTACTCAGTACCATGTATGGCCAAAATTGGATGGTGCAAATTGGTATAACTACTCTGAAAACCTTTTTGGTATTGTGCAGTAATGTTAAAGATGCGCAAAACTTTCCCCCAGAAATTCCACTCCTAAATACGTGCCCTAAAGAAACTCTTGCGATGTGCCCAGAAACTTCCACAAGAATGTTCACAGAAACACTATTTCTATTGCAAAAAACCTGGGAAAAAAAGCAATCGTGGCAGAAAAGTCCTGTTTGTTCCTTCTAATAGGAAAAGAGATAAATATGTTGTGGTATATTCATATGATGGAATACAATACAGCAATGAAAATGGGTCGACCACAGCTATCCCCATTACCATGGATGAATCTTCCAAACTGCTGAGCAAAAAAGTAAGTTGCAGAGGGACACGTACAGATGATTCCATTTATTCAGAATTCTAAACTTTCGACATCAATTACTATGCTGTCTAGAGGTCTACACATATATAGTAAAGCTGTGAAAAAGAGACAGAAATGGATAAGCACAAAATTTAGTATTGTGGTTTCCCCTGATGGGAATGGATGGGGGTGCAATGGGAGGAGGATGCAAACTGGGGGAACTGGACGTAATGGTGTCCGTGACAATCTATTTCTTAACCTGGACAGTGACTACATAGGAGTTCGCTTTACTTTTTCTTTATACCTTCTTTTTGCATTATATATTCTGTTGTGTGTATGGGATATTTCATCACTTAAAAAATGACGTATGTATAACCAGTAAACTAACTGGTTTTAAAATGCGTGTACCTGAAAACTAGTCCCTTGATGGGAGTAATTCATATTCTTCCAGTAATTAGACAATCTTTGGCCCCACACTGCTTAAGATGCGGAAGGTAATTCGATACTTTAGTTTTGAGGTTAACCAGCTCCAGGAGTCCCACAGATGCCCACAGTCAGAAGGAGCAAAAGAGAATTAACAAGTCCCTTGAAGGCAGGATTCAGAGAATTTATTCCTAGCCAAGATGACGTAGGAGTGTTCCGCGCTTTCATTTTAAGAAGCCGTTTGAAACCATCTCTGAGTGGGCTCAGGGCCTCGGGGGTGCCCTTACGAGATGGACGAGACCCCGTAGCCAAATGTCCCTGCTGGGACCGAGGGTCCTCCGTGGTCCTCTTCATGCAATCGCCACGCTTCAGCAAGCCCTCTGGGTGGATTCAGATCCCGGCTGTTTAAACAAGGAAAACATTTTCAATATTTATTTTTTTTCATGGTTGAAGCAAGTTATAAGGCTTGGTTCCAAGGCTCAGCATGTCCCGGGCCTCTGGCTCTGTAAAAATAACAATTACCTTTTATTAAACATTTACTGTGCCAGTCACCACGCTTGAGTTTAAACAACCTCATTGAGAGATGGGTACATTGATTTCCCCATTTTACAGCTGAGGACTGGGGCTCCGGGCGGGCTGCCTGGGTCACACAGGAGGGTCCGAGACCAGGGCTGGGTCTCTGGGCTCGGCCGTCTCATGGACAGCTGGGCTGGAACTGGGCACCAGGGCTCTCGGCACCAGGACTTGGGAAAGGTCCCCTGCAGGGAGGCTGTTCTGCTCCTGGTCTGTCCCCAGGGACCAGTCTGATAGGCCCCTTGGCTCCAGACAGAGGGCAGCATTTGCAGGGGGACAGGCATGCCGGGGGGTGTGGGGAGGGCCAACAGGAGCTGGCAGTGAGGGAGGACCACTCTGGCCTCCTGCTCCCCTCTCGCGACTTCCTCCAACGCCCTGAGTCCCGTGCATCCGACCTCGTCCTCCTCCACGGGAGATGCCCCATGGAGAGGGACCTCGGACAGGTGCTGGCTGTTGTGCCCTCTCCAAGATCAGCCGTCTCCTTAAGCCTGGCTCTGGAGGCCAAGTTATAGCTTTGTCCCCAACCCACTCGATTCATAACGATGGAGGGAGAGCAGGGTAATTGCCAGAAAACTTCCGCTCGCAAAGGAGGAGGAGCGGAAGCAGCACACGGTGGTCACCTGGCCTTCCCTCACACCCCGTCCAGCAGGCAGCACCGGGACTCCCTGCCCCACTGTCCTGAGGGGTCCTGGTGGCCCCAGCTCTGCCCTCGGCCGACTTGGTCCGGTCAGGGGTGGAGGGAGTACAGCCTTGTCTGTGCCAGCCAGGGCTTCTCTGGCCGTGCAGTCTCCAGGTCCATGGCAGGCTGCCCGGGGGCTGGTTTCTGTCCCCAGAGCTCTGGTCAGACAAGATCCCAGCCGCCCGACTCAGGCCTGGGCCAGTGGGCTCTTACCAGCCAGTGCCCTGTCACAGAGAGCGAACGGTACTCAGAAGAGGTCCCCCGCCTCCCTGGAGACCCCCACAGCCCGTCCCAGCCAGGGCAGGGGGACACACTATGCGCTAGCCTTTTACGATTTTCTGCCTTTTTTCTTGCTTAGTGTTCTTTCTCCTCTAGAGATGATGAATTCCTGAGCCAAAAGGCTCATTCGTCAGCCACGCTGTTTCCCTCTAACAGGGGTGAAGGGACCACGATGGAACCTGTGCCTCCAAGAACGCGGGCTCTTCCATTAGCTAGCTGCCCACCACACGAACACCAGCCTTCGGCACTAATGCACCACCGCACCCACCACCTGAGTCCTAACCCCAGCCCCTCGTTACCCCCCATGCGGACCTACAAAACTCCCTAGTTGCCCTGGAGGGAGCCGCCCCTCCATCCCCCGGGCTCCCCCTGTTCCAATTTGGGACAACTGAGAAGGGCCCCCCCTCAGAGCCGGAGCTCCCCAGGCGGTGGCTGAGGCCTCTGTGGTGACCGCACCACAGCTCAGAGCTTCCTCTGCCCAGCTCTGCCTCCTCACTCCCCAAAGGACTGACCCCGCTTCACACTCCAGAGACCTCCTGCCTCCCAGGGACCCTGACACAGGACGGAAGTTACTGCCCGTCTCACGCCCTCCTCCTTTGTAGAGGCTCACAGAGATGGAGTTGGGATTAAATGAGTTACCACATATAAAAGGTTTAGAAAAGGGTTACTAGTACCCAGTTATTACCATTCCTACTGGTGGTACTAGTACTCAGCACAACCCCCCTCCTAAAACATGACCCGTCGCAGCTCCAGCAGAACGCCCAGCCTGACTCCGACCCACATCCTTCAGGTGACCTATTCTAGACCTTCAGGAGGGCACCCAGGCTCCAGGAACCATAAATTAAAGCTAATTTAATATAAATTAGTTATATTAAATGGTTCGCTTCCTGCACATGCGACTTAATCCATTCTAGAATTCTCCTCTCGATGGATGAATCATCAACCTCACCCTGGTGACTTCAAACCCTGTCTCTTGTCAAACCATGTTCGTATTTCAGAGCATCCATGACGGTTGTCACCAGATCCCCCAGTACCTGCCCTTCCCCAGGAACCAAATGGGTTGTGTTCCCTCTGCCTTATTGAATGGAACACTTTTTTTCACCATGTCAAGACTAATTTTCTTGACGTTGCTGGATGCCAACATTTTTAGACAATAAAGGCAGTGTCATTGGGCCAGTGCTAGGCATATATGGGCACATGCCACACCCTTTAAACTGTGTAAGAGATGCAGCGCCAGCTCTAACAGTAACAAATTCTTGTTAACAAACTGTGCTAAAGGTCAGCCTCCAGAGTTATATTTCGAGCCCACATCCTGGGCTTTCTGAAAAGCACCCCTTTGAATGAAAGGTTACATAAGTCAGGACTGGTGAGGCACAAAGGGGCTACTTTGCAAGGTGGGATGGCTGTCCCGAATCCATTCAAGCTTCATGCTTTCTAGGAGAGCAAGGCCCAGCAGCCCTGCAGCTCTTCCTGTCCCATGGGGACTCTGCTCCCAGGGGCTGGGAGTTCCCTGGACCAGGGGTATGTCTGAGGTCAAGCCGGCAGCCTCGGCAAGGTGAAGGAGGAGGCAGGCAGCACGTGGCTCTGGTGTGGGACAGAGAGAACATAAAGGAGCAGCTTTTCCTGGCTCCCCCCTCCCCCCCCCCCCCCCCCACACACACAGGGAGACCTGTAACCTAACTTTGCACGGGCTCAGAGGAGCTGGAGGAGCAGCACGGGGTAGGGTAGGTCCCATGGGGCATGGAGGAGATGCCTGGGGTGGGGGCCAAGTGGGGCAGGCACAGGCAGGTCTCAATGCTCTCCCTTGTCCACCTCTGCTTGGGGCCATTTTGCAGAGGGCATGCAAGATTTCACTGGTAGAGCATATGTTGCTGCTTGAAAACATTTGCAGGTGGGCTGGGTCAGACCTTGGAGACCTCCAAGACCCATTCGAAGAGTTTGGTCAGGCCTCAGTGCAGGCGCATTCTTGCGGGTTTAAGAGGGGAGATGAGATGAATTTGCTCCTCGGGTTTCTGCCTCCTTCCTTCTGCCTGCACAGCAGGTAGGGCGACGGGAGCACGGGGCAAGGTGCTCAGCGTGGTTGTGGTCGGACGCCCAGGGCACTAATTTTAAGCTTCATTTGGGTAGCAAATAATCTTCTACTTCTATTTTTAGCACTTTATTAAAATGTATTTCTAAATGAGTAGCACAGTTTTTATCATTTGTTTCAGAATGAATGTTACCTACGCTCTATCAAGTGCAGATGAAATACTGTATTAAGAAATGCAGTTGTATTTCTTGGAAACTTCCTCTGAGGCAATGCGCCCCCCTGAACCCCTCAGGGGAGCCCTGGGTCTTTGCCCTCCTGCCACCCCCACCCAACCAAGACAAGTCTTTTCAGTGGTGTCAATGATCTGGATAATTTTTTTCCTTGAAAAAAGAACAATTAGAAATATTATTCCATTCATCATAAGTTCTGAAAAATGTAAAATTCAAAGTTGTTTCACAACTATTTCTCATCATAAAATGTATTTTTTTTTTCTTGCTTATACATGATTGGTTTTTTCTGGCTAAAATTCCACGCAAGCAACTTTTTTTCAAACAAGGTTAAGCCAGCTTGCTGGTCTTACGGATGCCCCCAAGCCTCAACAGCCAGACCTTGGTAGTGCTGCTGAATTTACCACCACACCCCCATCCCCTCCCGCCCCCCAAACCCTGAGGCTCTGGGTCAGGAAGTCAACTTAGGGAGCTGCACCTGTCTTCTGTTTTTTAAATGGCAAGGTTCCTAAAATCCTTCAGTCTCTTTCTTCCCAGAGAAACACAACGTCCATCCGGTGAGAGCCTGCGCAGAATGTAAGCGAGGGAGCAGCTCTGCTGGGATGGGGGCGACGCACTGCAGAGCTTAACAAGAATGACTCGGGGGTGGCCGGCAGCTTGCAGTGACCTCACTGGTCCTCCTTCCGTTTCATCAGGCACGAGGATGCTCCCCATTGCGACTGTCCTTGACTGTCACCGCCAATGTCCACTCAAGAAATGACTGTAACAGATCAATAAGCAGCATAGTTCATCTTGACCTGACTGTCTCTAGTTCAATTTATTTGGGATGTATGACGTGCTAAGTACAATTTAAATATACACACACGTGCCTATATGTACATACATGTGCACGTGCACATCCATGTGTGTGCATATATACTCTATGTATATGTATGTGTCTATATATATTTTTTTAAGATTCAAATACCCAGAATTCCCTTTTTTCCCTGATTTTTAGGAACCATACCTGCTTTAGTGACTATCCTTCAAAAAATAAGAACTGAAACCACCCATGCGCCGATACCGAAAACAGCTCACTGTTTTCCACTATCTTCATTGGCATGACTTTATTATTTCAGAGGCCAGGCAATGACTCACCATTTATTACAGAAACCTCAAAAAAAGCCCACTCCCGCTTCAGGGGAAAGCGTCAATAGTTTACACCCTAAGACTCTTTGAATCTTTTGCCTCAAACTCCTTGCCTGGCTGCTTCCAAAATGCCGGCTGGCTGTCGTGGAACGATCCACAGCCGATCCTAACCAACCCCTCCCCACGCCCAGCCCTCTGCCCCCTAAAAGCCCCTCCTTAACCCCAAATTCCAGGCCCCAGCATATCCCGCCTGGCCCCCTCTCCCAGATACTGCCAACCCAGCCTTATCGCCATGACTAATAAACTGGCTTTGTCGTGGTGTGTCATCGGTTAGCTGGGGAGCCTGCACCTGAAAACAAGGGATCAATTTTAATGTCAACAAGACAGTGATAAATTACTCAGCAAAGCTAACAAAGGAAATAAGGCAGTGGTCATGTCCCCAGTTGTAAATCCTGGATACAAAATGGCTACTGTAAAACAGGAAATTATTCTGCTCTAGAGAAGGAAGAGGACAAAAATCAACCTTCTCCCTTACCGACGATGTCCTTCAAACAGGACTGCTCACGGGCAACAGTGGTTCCCAGGAGCCCCAGGCAGTGCTCTGGGATGGACTGGAGGTCACCCCAAGGGCGGGCTCTGGGTGCTGGGGTGGAAGTGGGAGCACTAACCTGCCCAAAGGCTAAGGGAGAAGATGTTCAGAACCGCGCTCTGACGGCGGAGCCTGGGGTCCTCCAGAGACCCCTCAGCTCAGAGTACTCAGATTCTCCTTCCACTTCACCTCTAATTACCTCTGCAGTCTCATAGGCAAATGGCTCAACTTTTCTGAGAACTAATCTCTTTATCCCTAAAATAGGCATAATAACCTATATCTGGATCAGGCAGGATTAAATTTGCCAATGAATGGGGAGAGACTTTGAAAACTAGAAAGCGCTGGGCAAATAGCAAGGTATCATCTTTCCCAAGGAGTGGAGAATTCAGACAACTCTCAAACCAATCTTGGCCTGGCATGGGCTGGACAGAGACATCCATACCTGGGGATGTCACGTGTGGCTGTGCAGGTTGTGTACTGCACAACTCTAGGGGGAGCTTTTCACATTTGCGGATGTGAGGGATGTGTATAATAATTAACATGACAGTTTTCCAGCAGATGCCAGAAAATGTCTTGAGGAAAGGGTGATTTATTCTAGTTTATATGAAAGTGCTGAACAAGCTCTGGGAGAGGCTGCCTGTTCCTGCTCTATCTTGTAAGATACGAGATCTAACCCTGGGGCACTGCTCTCCTATACTTGGTTGTAAAATTGAATCACAGTTTTGTGTCTTAATTGTTCTTTGACTTAAACATATGGCTAGAGGCCAGAGGCAGAAGCATCAATCACTTTTAAAAATGTGTCAAGCCACATTAGATTGATCTAGAACGAAGTTCTTAATTGGTTGCAGTGGCCAAACCAGGGGCAACATGTCTTACTAGAAACACACAGAATTTGAAAAACATTTGAACCAACATTTCAGAATTGGTAGACTTCACATAAAATCCAGCTTTCCAGCTTCTCTTTAAAACTTGGGAGATCCGGCTGACTGGGCATCGCAAGATGGAGCAAGGACGGCCTCAGCAGCCCTGTAGGCATCCCAGGGGCCGGCCCTGGCATGTTTGGGACTGAATACCACTGTACGAGCTGTTCCAGAAGGGTCCGGTCAATGCCGGATCCCAGCAGCGTGTTCAGCTGGAAGGCTGCGGTCAGAAGCTTCGGCCAAGCAGATGCAGCCTCTCTGCTCCTTCCTCTCTGCTCCCCCCTCCCCCGCTCCTAATTTCCATGGCTTACAGGCGGTGAGGCAAACAACAGAGGAGACCCCACTCCCACAGCCCTGCCTCTGCTCTGTGGGGAGGCCCCACATGTTGACGGAACACCTGTAGCCCGCTAGGCCATGTGCCGGGGTCTCGGGGAGAGCAGACTGCGAGTCCTCCTGTAGCTTCTGTCCCACTAGAGAAGGGAGAAGCAAATAAACCAGAAATACGGAGCGTCAGATGATGCTAAGTGCTAAAAGGAAAAAGAAAACTGGGATGAGGGGACAGGGCGATGATAGGAGGGGTCTCCTTCTCATACAGGAGTCCAGGAAGCCCCCAAGTGAGGCAAGAGAGGCAACAGGTGCACCCGGTGGAGGGAGAGCTCTCCAGGCAGAGGCCCTTGCAGGAGCCGGCGGGGCCCCGAGGAGCAGCCTAGGGCCCTGTGTGGGAGAAGGAACAAGAAGATACGAGAGGAGAAAGGAAGGCAGGGGGAGCGGGGCGGGTTATGGAAGGCCTCAGGGCAATGAAAAGAATTCTGGATTTTATTCTGTGTTGAAAGGGAGCAGAGAAATCAGCTGGACTGGTTTACGTTTGGGAAGGAGCGCTCTGCTCTCTGCTGTGTTACAACTGAATCGCTGGGGAGCCATGCAGACCAGGGAGGTCCCCGGAGAAGGCGCGTTATAGGTGCCAAGAGCGTCACGGCAGCTGGGGACAGGTGGCGGAGCTGCAAGGATTTGCACCAGCAAATTGGATGAGGAGGAGAGAAAGTGGGAAGTCAGAGTGGACCCCAGGGTTTTAGTCTGAACAACTAGAGGACTGGAGGTGCCATTTACTGACGTGAGGAAGGCAGTTTTAGGGGGTAAAGTCAAGAAATAGGTCTTAGGCAAATTTGGCTTAGGATGCTGTTATGGGCTGAATTGTATCTCCTCCAAATTCATGTCAAAGTCCTAACCCCAGGACGTCAGACTGTGACAGTATTTGGAGACAGGTCCCTTAAACAGGTGACTCAGGCAAAATGGGACCATTAGGGTGGGCCCTAATCCCACATGACTGATGTCCTTATAAGCAGCAGCATTGGACACTCAGAGAGACACGGGTGTGCGCACGCAGAGGAAAGACCAGGTGAGGATACAGGAGAAGACAGCCCACTGCCCGCCAAGCAGTGAGGCCTCAAGAGAAACCAACCCCGCCGAGACCTTGGTCTTGGACTTTCGGCCTCCAGAACTGTGAGAAGATGAATGATCAGCAGTCTGTAAAAGGAAGAGGAAGTTGAAACAATTAATCCCCGGTTAGAAAGGGGCACCACAGACCCAAAGGCCCCCTGCTTCGTTTCTCTCTTTTCTTCATTTTACAGCCTCCCTAAAAAACATACTCCTTGAAAAATCCTCCCAAGGCTGTAGGCTTTGGGACTCAAAAAGCCAGAAAGACTCACTTCTGATCACTTCCCTCCACCGGCCAATTCCATCTCCTAAGAAAGTCCGGAGCCGTCTCCCTTCTGAACGAGGGAGGTGGGGGGAAAGTGGAAGCAGAAGATAGGAATTCGTATCTGCCACTGCCCAGCCACATACGAAGCCATTAATAACCCCGCTGTGCAGGACTAGGTGACCACCCCAGCTTGTGTCTAACAGTGAGGTTAAGTGAAAACAGGACTGAAAAAATAAAAGCGTTTGTTGTCTTCCATGGAACGACAAGGAGGCAACCCAAGAACTTGAAAATAGTGAAATAAAGCTGTAGAAGCCAATTCACCACGGAACAGAGTGTAGGCATTGAATGCTACATTTAAGAGAATAAATAGCTCGATACCAGCGTCAATTTATCTTAATTTGATTGATAGCATAAAAACAGCTGAAACAAATAAACGAACCAGAAAAAGGGGCTGGCAGAAGAGGGGTTGGTCATGGAAGATTAGGAAAATGCCATCTCGGAGGTCATATGTATGCATGAGTGTGTGATATCTCCAGGAACTCTCAAACTTCATTCTATATAAGAATCACCCAAAAAGGCTTCTTAATCAACGCAGATTTGTGAGCCTGGCCTCGGAGAGCCTGAGTCAGTGGTTCAGGGGTGAAGCTGATGCTGGTGGTCCAGAACCCACTCTGTACCCCCCACGTGGTAGTCTCTGGGCTTGAGGATTGTGAGGCTGCCCCTGACGGGGGGTTACCTCTAGTGGGGTCTCACCTGGAAAGGTAAGGGCCAGCTCTGCATTGTGACTTCACTAGGGGACATCTTCCATCCTCTGGGGGGACCACCTGGATAATACACGCCCCAGAGCCCATTTGTCCTGCTGGTTTTCTTTTATTAATTTAAATTTTTAAATAACTGGGGAAAAAATGACGTGTTCAAGTCAACTCCTTTGCAGCCTGGCTTTTACACTAATACTGTGATGGTAAGTTTAAATTTCTAGTCATGGAGCAGTATCTTGTCGAAGCTCCCCACTTCATCCCCAGCCTGCTGTCCCTGATATGCCCTTAGGATGGAGACAAAAAGAGGAGTGGATTTAGATTGAGTCGCTTGGGCAAACAGTCAAAGGGTCCATATCCACAGCTGACAACCGGGCTTCTATTTTACAAGTCATAGTGAAAGCCAACTGGATTCTCCTTTGAAATGCCGCAGATGAGGAAGCATGGAGCGGGGAATCCCAGAGGTCTCGCCGGGGCCACGTGGCTGGATGGCATGTGGGGGGAGAGTGGTGGAAAGTTTAAGGGGGGGGGCATGGCGGGCTGACGGGCAGCAGAGAGCATTTGGAGGGTGCTTGGGGAGGGGATGGGAGGAGAATGCATCACGGCACCTCCCAGTGCAGGAGGTGGTGTCGGCTAGAGAAGTGGAAGGCTGGAAGAGAGGCAGGGGGAAAAGCGAATGACCAGGACGATTTCTCAGTTCCTTACCCTGG